AAAAATAGGGGTTGTCCAGCGGACAAAATTGTGAATCTAAACCATTCTCAGATCCCCTTGAACACACACAAAAATTTTCATCAAAATCGGTCCAGTCGTTTAAGAGAAGTTCAGTGACATACATACTCACAGAAGAATTATATATATAAAGATATATATAAAACTCAAAGGTGACTGACTGACGTAGTAATCTATCAACGCCCAGCCCAAACCACTGGACGGATCGGGCTGAAATTTGGCATGCAGGTAGATGTTATGACGTAGGCATCCGCTAAGAAAGGATTTTGATCAATTCTACCCCGAAGGGGATAAAATAGGGAATGAAAGTTTGTATGAAACTTTGTCAATTTTAAAACCGAACGGGCTGAGACTTTGCATGCAGGTATAAGAATAATCATAGATGAATGTCATTGTGTATAAAACAAGCCTGAGAACAAAAACTGTAGTCTACGCTTCAGGTCTACACCGAAGCGAAGCGAGGGCGGGCCGCTAATATTCAATGAAACATAGGTCAATCTATGAATTTAGTATGAACTCAGTATGAAGTGAATTAATATTACAACTAATTCATTTTATTCGGTGCGATTTTAAAGAATAACTATTAGGAAAAACTTGGTTAGGTAGGATTCATGAATAAAAATGATGTGGTGTCGTGGGACACCAGGTAGGAACGAAGTTCCCTCATTTAACGGTTTTATTCCACGCACTATTTTCCACGGATTTTTTCTTACTGTTTTACTATCACATTTTTTTCAGTTCGGTCGTGCAGCAAAATCCCTATCCCCTCCAAGCCTGCCGTAAGGAACTTCGTTCCAATAATCCAGTAATGCAGCCCCGTCGCTCTGCCACCCCCTTGGACTTAACCACAGTTTAGTATAATATACGATAATAATCCAGTGTTGGTATAATGCCACAACAATTTGGGGTTGCACCCCCGTCGCTCTGTCACCCCCTGTTAAGTACTGACCTTGTTATCATGTCTAGCTTAAGTTTACAGCAGATGACAGGCGTTCCTGGTCCACAGCTCGGTATAACGTCACAAATATCCAGATTTCGTGTAATGTCACAATATTCCAGTGCTGCACCCTAGTAGCTGTGCCACCCCCTGCATACGCACCTTATTATCATGTCCCGCTAGCGTTCGTAAAGGATGCTAGGCAGGACTGGCCCACAGTTTAGAATAAACTACTATGTCACAATAATCCAGTGATGTACCCCCGTCGCTCTGCCACCTCCTGGTAAGTCTCACCTTGTAATCATAATCATGTCTCACAGGCGTTACTGGTCCACAGCTTGATATAACTTCACAAATATCCAGTGTTGGTGTAATATCACAATATTTCAGTGATGCACCCTCGTCGCTCTACCACCCCCTATAACTTCACACATATTCAGTGTTGGTGTAATATAATAATATTTCAGTGATGCACCCTTGTCGCTCTACCACCCCCTATAACTTCACACATATTCAGTGTTGGTGTAATATAACAATATTTCAGTGATGCTCCCTCGTCGCTCTACCACCCCCTATAACTTCACACATATTCAGTGTTGGTGTAATATCACAATATTTCAGTGATGCACCCTCGTGGCTCTACCACCCCCTATAACTTCACACATATTCAGTGTTGGTGTAATATAACAATATTTCAGTGATGCACCCTCGTCGCTCTACCACCCCCTATAACTTCACACATATTCAGTGTTGGTGTAATATCACAATATTTCAGTGATGCACCGTCGTCGCTCTACCACCCCCTATAACTTCACACATATTCAGTGTTGGTGTAATATCACAATATTTCAGTGATGCACCCTCGTCGCTCTACCACCCCCTATAACTTCACACATATTCAGTGTTGGTGTAATATAACAATATTTCAGTGATGCACCCTCGTCGCTCTACCATCCCCTATAACTTCACACATATTCAGTGTTGGTGTAATATCACAATATTTCAGTGATGCACCGTCGTCGCTCTACCACCCCCTATAACTTCACACATATTCAGTGTTGGTGTAATATCACAATATTTCAGTGATGCACCCTCGTCGCTCTACCACCCCCTATAACTTCACACATATTCAGTGTTGGTGTAATATAACAATATTTCAGTGATGCACCCTCGTCGCTCTACCACCCCCTATAACTTCACACATATTCAGTGTTGGTGTAATATCACAATATTTCAGTGATGCACCCTCGTCGCTCTACCACCCCCTATAACTTCACACATATTCAGTGTTGGTGTAGTATCACAATATTTCAGTGATGCACCCTCGTCGCTCTACCACCCCCTATAACTTCACACATATTCAGTGTTGGTGTAATATCACAATATTTCAGTGATGCACCATTATCGCTCTACCACCCCCTATAAGCCTGCCGTAAGGAACTTTCGTTCCAAGTTTTATTCCACGCATTTTTTCTTACGGTTTTACTATCACATTTTTTTCAGTTCGGTCGCGCAGCAAAATCCCTATCCCCTCCAAGCCAGCTGTAAGGAACTTCGTCGCGGCTGCGCACGTCTCATTTAACGGTTTTATTCCACGCATTTTTTCTTACGGTTTTACTATCACATTTTTTTCAGTTCGGTCGCGCAGCAAAATCCCTATCCCCTCCAAGCCTGCCGTAAGGAACTTTCGTTCCAAAAATAAAAACTGTAGTTTCGCTTCTTATTTATTGACTATTTTTCACATAATTGTATCATAATTGTTTATTGTATTTATTTGTATATCACATGTATATTGTGTAAATATGCATCGTGAATGTGTATCAGGTGTTCTTGAATAATTTGGCAGTATGATCCTCTCAGAATGTTATGGCACAGGTTCACTAGCACTTGGTAATAAGGGCTCTGCTCGTTGCTAACATCGATGGCATATTAGATAGCCGAAATAGTTAAATTAAAGGAAAAACAATCGCAAATAAACACACACAACAGGTAATCCGAAACGAGAATGCACTTTCCGGTATAATATACTACTCTTTGGAATGCACGAATGCCATAGATTACCACAAATGCAAACTGCATGCACCTCAACCACAGAGTAACGAGTTTTATGCCGGCCCTTCACTTGACAACAGTTTGTCCTTGTCACGCTTAATAAGGAATGAAAAGGACAGACATGTCATGTTTTAAAATAGTAAATACGAATATTAGGAAGAAAGAGTGTTTTGTTTGCAGTGCTGCCATAGATTATACACATAAAATGGTATTTATTGTCTCGGATTATTTTTTAACTTTTTAATTTAACTTATTTAACTGGAAGTGTCCGTCACAATCTAAATACTGATAATTATCGCAAAAAATATACTAAGAATTATCATAAATGCCAAATTGGTGTTGGTTCTTAGGCCAATTTTAACATTTTCCTTTAGAGTTGTATGTATTTTTTAATACCACATTATATAAAAAAAAATTGTCCAAAAAAAAATTTAGGGGTGTGTGAAGGGGGTAAGGGGTGATAACATTCCTCCTAACCCATATGAGAACACTACGTTACAATACCCAATAGTTTGAATTTTGGCGCGAAGGCGCATTGTAGGTTTCAGAACACTACGTTACAGGTGGACAACCATTATCACTTAAGGATATGAAAAATAGATAGTAGCCGATTCTCAGATCCATGGAATATGCATATAAAATTTCATAAAAATCGGTCAGGCCGTTTCTGAGGAGTCACTAACATTGTGACACGAGAATTTTATATATAAGATAAACCTTCCAAGAAAAAATATTTAACTGATAGTGATAATTTTGTTGTGTGTTTAAGGACCCGTTGTACCGAATGCAACATTGCCCTACTGCGTTAAAAATGCTTATCCCCGTTACCTTTTGTCCAAACCCTTATTAATTTGGAAATGGTCTAATCCAACAAGTAATAAATCAAGACTATATCAATAAGAAGTGATTTATTTGGATAAGAATTAATACCTGGGTACGAATAATGTGACCTTTGATTATTTACTCTAAATAATCATATTCTACATATCATATTTTGACACGAAAAGTAGTTAAATATACTTACTAATATTATAAAGCTGAAGAGATTGTATGTTTTTTTGGTTGAACGCGCTAATCTCAGGAATAACTGGTCCGAATTAAAAAAAATATTTATCCAGGAAGGCTATAGGCTAACATTACGCTACAACCAGTAGAAGCGGAGCATCGATGAAAATGTTGCAAAAACGGGTTAAAATATTCAATTTGTGAACTTCCGTTGCGTGCACGGTTAAAGCTACACAAAAATTACGTATTACGGAATTTTTACCCTTAAAAAGTTCTATAAAAAGTCCGCGATAGCATATGGGTAAGACCTCTAGTTATGACATAGCTGTATTAGTTAGACGTATGGTATCGGTGACTTTTTTGTAGATATTGATGTCCTCTATAAAACTTTAGTACATCACTTTGCTCTATTGTCAATGACTTCCGCAGCGTACGTGAGGTTGTTTTTTGGTATTTTTTTCACATGTTATGTTATATTATCCAAGTTCTTCACTGATAATGTAGGATTTAAATATGAAAGAATTTTTCAAATCAGACCAGTATTTCCGAAGCCTATACATTACAACAAACAATCAAACTAAGTAACTCAATAAATAATCTAATAATATAAAATTATCGTGTCACGGTGTGCGTAATTGAACTCTTTCGAAACGGCTCGACCGATTTTCGTGAAATTTTATATGCATATTCAGTAGGTCTGCGAATCAACATCTATTTTTCATCCCCCTATATGTTAAGGGTTAAAAAAATAATTAAGTGTTCACTTAATTATTTTTGTTTGGATATTTTTTTTCTTTTTTATGATACATCATTATAAAAATACATACAATCCCTAAATTTTAACCCTTCTACCACCATCCCCTATTTTTTTATGGCGGTACGAAGTTCACTGGGACAGCTAGTATTAGTATAGAATAAAAAAAACATCTAATTTATCTGGTGATTATATAAAGTGGACTGATCGTTATTCTTTATGAATAAATCGCAGGCTCCCGAACTCCTCCGGCGGTATCCATTGACGAACCACGATGATTTCCCTCTACCCCTGGACATGGTGTATTTCTGTCAGCCCGAGGGCTGCATGTCGGTGGGACCTCGCCGCGCGCCCGGACACCTTGCTGCCAGGGACACCACGTCTTTCGTCTTCACACTTACGGATAAGGACTCCGGTAAGCTTATGATGAATAGTAAAAATATTTTTTCATCAACATTATGCCTGTAATCATAAATATGTTTTCATTATCATAATTTTATCATCCAGGGACGCAGGTAGGTATTCCGGAACCATATATATAACTTGAACTACAATATATATATATATATATATATATATATACTAGCAAACCCGGCGAACTCCGTTTCGCCACCAGATGGCTTCGTTTTATGTAACATTTCGTTTGGTGATTAAAAGAAGTTTTTTTTTTTATTTTTCCTGAATTTTCTTTGCTATAAACCTCACGAAGCCCGAGACCTTTCCAATGAATGCAAAACCGTGGAAATCGGTTCGTGCGTTCTGGAGTTATAGCGTCAGGAAGGAAACCCCGACTTATTTTTATATAGTAGATATATATATATATATATATATATATATATATATATATACCTTTTCCTAATTCAATCTTGATCTCACAGTACCTATATGTTATGAACCGCTTTATACAAAACGTAGACTAAAGTTAAACCTGGACTTAAACTGATGTTGTTATTTTTATTTGCTAAAAAGAAGACAACATTAGGTTTAATCCAAGACTAACATTATTCCGTGTTTTGGAATAAGGCGGGAAATGTTTTCTTTCACTCTGCGCCTACGCCATTTTTTCTTAAACTTACTTTGTTAAATGCGTAGTATAAGGAGATTATATCACAATGTATGGTTTGTAATCAAACAATTATCCAAAATGAAGGTAAAACGCGGTACGGCATCTGCGTCAACTTCTACCGCGCGGTGGAGCGCGCCGCGGCGCCCGGCCCTCAACGGAGCGTGCTGCGGCGCGAGTCCTGGCGCAAGTCCATGGAGAAGAGCTCCGACTCCGCCTTCTCGAGGTGAACACCAATTCGATCAAACGACCTTAAAGAGCGTTATTTCACCGAGACACCTTGGCAGCGGAACCAGTCGCGCCACCGTGGTGTCCGTAAGCTACCAAACTAGTCAGCATACAGACACCAGAGTCGCCACACCACACTGAGACAGTATCAAAATGGACCTCGAAGTGATATCACTACTGCTGTATGTGCTTAGGAACGTAGGCGTCACTGCCTGCCGAGTTAATGAGACACCATACAGTGCTATAGTAATAAGTGGTGGGGCGACCAGCGTGGCGACGCGACACAGTAACATTCTGTGTACGCGTCCGACCTGGTCGCGCCACCGAATTGGTTGCGCAACCGAAAGGGCACCAGGTGAGTAACTTTCTATAGAGCTGAATATATTTTGTTGGTAGCGGCGAATGGTTGCGCCGCTATGGTGTCCCGGTGAAATATAGTCCCTTGTTCAGATGGTCGCGCGCCAAAATAGTTCAGATGACAAGCAATAACACACGGCTACCCCCATCCATTTTTTCGCTGCCCCATACGTTTGCACGCAACAAGCCGCATGATCATCTGAACGGTCCTATAGGGTTTTTCAATAAGGACCGGGTACGTTTGAATTCAAATAAAGGAGAATTGATTGTTTACAATTACATTAAATTAGCTTTTTTATAAGCTTACATTTTGGCATTTTATGTGGAATACGATATCGTTCATATTATAAACTCGGCTTGGTAAGGTAGTCTGAATCTGAATACAAAGGGAGAGGTCAAATTTTTATGCCATCACAATTAAGGCACTTACGTATCTAGTCTTTGAAAAATCCGGACCGCTTACGCCTTTAGCCCAAAATACGCATCAGATAGTCGCTCTTACAGAACGCAACGGTTTTTCATAAATCTCTTAATAATTATAAAGCCCAAATCAGTTGTTTAATTGTTTTTCACTATTTAACAAATAGTGTCTTTCTTAAGACGGATACGTTGCACACAAATTTCCCATAACGCGCGAAACGTTTGATGAATTGAAATACTGTTTTGACAATACTTTTTAATTATTTCAGTGCGTTGCTCATCTGTATAGCAACTGGTATAATAAATGCCGAACTTTAAATAATGTATCTATCTAAAAGTTGCATAATAAGAAGATCTAATATGTCCACTATAGGCTGTCAGAGGTAACCTTTTCTTATTGTAAAACCCTGTATTGATTTAGAAACTCCGAGCGGGCGTTGTAGAGCGACCATCTGAAGTTAGCCTAAAATATTATGTAGTTTGAATTCAGTAAGTACCTGAATTATTCTCTGAAAACTGTTTTACTGATCTTTTTACGTGTCTCACAATTAGGGATGCAAAGTCTTTTGAAATATCGATATTTATGTCGATATTTATATCGAAGTCAGGAAAATATCGATATCCGATATATCGACCATTTTAACCCGATATTATGGATATTTTTTTCTTTTTTTTTTGCTTTGTATTAAGTTTGCAAAGCAAAAACCTAAAATTAAGGAAGCAAAGGTTTCCGAAATATCGATATTTATAATGTGGGCAGATAAATATCGATATCCAATCCGATATATCAGCCATTTCAACATTTCCAACACGATGTTTATATTTTATTTATTTTGTTTAAAATGTTTGCACGCAGCCAAAATCAGAATAGATAATCATATGAAAAACAATTGTTATGTATTAGAAAAACATGTCGGGTAATGTAATATGGTTCAAATTTCCCCACATGTTTTGTCAACAGAACCTAAAAACAACAACTTTGACAATCTCTTCCTATGTAGCCGATTCCTGTTTTGGGTCACTGTTGTGCCTGCCTTGGAAAAAAGTCGTTCAGCTGGTTCAGATGTGGCCACGATTGGAAGATGGCGCATGGCAATTTTAAAAAGATTTGGGTATTACCCTTGCATTTCCAACCATGTATCCAGCACGTTAATTTTTAAAGTGCTTACTGGAGCTGGGAGAAATAAAGTTAATTCGTCATCACCATCAGTTTTTCTTTTCTTTATTTGAGTATGCGCTAATGATTTATGGTGCTTCCAAAAATCAAATTGTATATTTTCTTCATCTTCAGACGATGTTGATGACCTAGAAGCCGCTTGCTTCCAAAATTACTATACCTACCTTACTTTCTTGACTTGGCGAGCTTAAAAAAATTACGATTTGTATAAGATTCTTAATTTTATTTTGTGTTATATTACAATGATATTAAATTTCAATTAATCAGTAGGTAGTTGACAATTATCTAGAATGAGAGGCAAGGGTTTTATTTAAGTGCATGAGTTACCATTAGGTATACGATTATACCTATATACGTTGGTGTCGATTCTGACATGATTATCTAAACTTAAAACTAAATTTAACATCATTCTCTCCTTTTCATTCTGTATAGAGAATGACAAGGATACACTGTTGTTAAATTTAATTTTAGGTTTAGAGAATCATGCCAGAATCCACACCAGTTTAGTATATTTCTTGGGGTTCAAGATTTTTTTAATACATCTATAAGCTCTTGCGATTTCAAAGCAATAGTTATTTCGATATTATTCAATTTAGATAGTCATAGCAGGTAAATTAATTGATATTATTGTGCTCAAATTTAGTCTACGAAATATCGATATTTTGGAATTTCCGATATCGATATTATCGATATCAGTGAATTTTTAATATCGATATAAATATCGATATTTTGGTCTCGATATTATCGATATTCCGATACATAGTTGCATCCCTACTCACAATCCATAGGTACCCACTGCGAACTGGATCTAAAATAAAATATAAATATTGACGCAGCTGTACTGCTGGTAGAAAAACACTGTTTTGGCTAAAAAATCGCTCTTTTGGCTTCACCGTAACTTGTAATAAGTATAACATTTTTCTATAGACAACAATGAATTAGGAACTGTTACTATAAATAATAAATAAATAAATATTTCCAACACTCACACCAATTAACCTAGCCCCAAAGTAAGCACTGTAAGGCTTGTCTAATGGGATGCTAGGGTAACAGATAGAATACATATACTGTACACATATAAGTGTATTTATATAGAAATACATATTAAACATTCATGACTGGAGTACAAATGCTCGTATTCATCACACAAACATCTGCCCCCACCGGGATTCGAACCCGAGACCTCTCGAGTCGGCGACACCATGAAACCCGGCGTACAAACCACTCGGCCACGGAGGTCGTCAACTATTCTCAACTTGAGCCCTATCATTATGCAATCTACTTTGATGTGCTATTATACAGAAATCTGTATTATTGTATTCACTGTTCATGTTACGGCAGCGGCAGAATGTAAACGGGGTATAAGATGTAGCGTTCGTTTCAGTGACTATAGGAGCAGCAACGTAGCACCGAGCGACTCGGAGCGCGACTGCAGCACGACGGGCCCGCGACTGGCCGCAGCCGCCGCTGCCGCGCCTGACTCCGAGTCCGGTGGCAGTCACTCGCCCAGTCCTCGGGCCACTAGAAAACGCCAGGTATAAATACAGGCCATCCTTTCCAGTGACTATAGCGGCAGCAACGTAGCGCCGAGCGATTCGAAGCTGTCGCTTTCATCTTGATTTGAAGTTATGTACCTTCACTCTTATTTTTCTGTCTAATTTGACCGGACTAGAACGGTGTGTAGCGAGATAATGATGACTTTTGAACTGCATTCCCTTTTCATTCTTTTTAATGTACCTGGTCAAATAAGCATGTATATTGCCCCTCTTAAGAAACAAAAAAAATGGTGGTGATTGTATTTGTAACGTTTGAAAATATATTTCAGATGAGATTTAATAAGACCAGTTTATAGTTCGAACACAGTCAACTTTTGAAACTTGCCATATCACAAGCACATTTTCTCCTGTTTCGAATTAAGTATTCCATAGCTGCTTCTCGAAACACAATTTAACGAGGGTTTATTTTGTTTCAGCGGGTGCGAAATCATTCCTTGACATCTTTATGTTTACTTTCACATCACCCATTCTTTTCCACGTTCCGAGAGTGCCTATTTATCCTAAAGAAATTGATAGATGCCTGCAATGAGTCTTCCAGTCCACGACGTGTAGGAGCGTCTAGACAAATATTTAGGTAAGTTGATAAGTATCAGACACAAAGTACAATATAAAGCGAAACTTTTAAATATTGTTATACTAAAGAAAAGTTTTACTAGAAAAAAAAAACACGCGGGCAGGCTGCCTGGTCGGCATGGATTTTTTTCTAGTAAAACTTTTCTTTAGATTTAAACAACTAGCAGTTAAATACTTAAAAAAACATAACTATAATTGCTATTTCTTCTTTCAAATGTTTAATACTTGAAAAAGTATTCATTAAACATTGTGGGTTACTTACAATGCGAAGAGATGGCGCTGCCTTGCAGCTTAAGGCTAGGAAAATTTCGACGCGGCCATCAGGGCCGTGGTAGCATAATTGGCCAGTGCATTCGCCCGGATTGCGAAGGGTGCGGGTTCGAGTCCCGTCCGCTGCCTGGTCCGCGTGGATTTTTTTCTAGTAATACTTTTCTTTAGATTTATACATCTAGCAGTTAAATGCTTAAAAAAAACATATTGTTATACTAGTTTTTTGAGAATTCCACAGGAATCTAAAAAAACATCCGAGTTAAAAAGTATTCTATGTCTCAATCCAGGGAATAAAGTATGTGTGTGCTAAATTTCATACAAATCTGTTCAGCAGTTTATGCTCTACTTCTGCATTAATAATATTAGTAGGATTGTTTGAGGAAATCCATAGCGAAGAAGGAGGCCCGATCAACTTCTGATCAGGTCAACGTAGAAATTTCAATCTCCCATTTACTCTTGCTGGAAGTATATGGTTCTTACTTTATAACTTACTATACTTTACTAACATAGTTTCTAAGTAAAACTGTTACAAACAAACTATGCACATGTTCTGAAAAGAAATGATATTATTATTTTATGCGATTTGGTTCATTTATATTTTATTATTTTACTGTCCAGGGATACTGTATGGTCAGTATTAACGGGTCAAGCTTACGACAATACGCCGACGATCGTCTTGCACGACGTGAAAGAGATTGAGACGTGGATCCTTCGCCTCCTGTCCGCGCCGGTCCCCGTGCCGGGCAAGACCCGAATAGAGCTGGAAGTTTTATCGCCCACTGCGCATGCGCCGTTATTGTTTGCGCTGCCGGATCATACGAGATTTGCGCTTGTCGATTTCCCTCTGCATTTGCCTTTGGAGCTTCTGGGTGAGTTTGCTTTGTAGCTAACGTATTTTATTTAAGACTAGCGGCCGCCCGCGACTTCGTACGCGTGGTGTTAGTTAGAAATAAAGGTTCACTGCTCGTTCCCCGTGGGTGATAGCGTGATAATATGTAGCCTATATGTTGACCCAACTTCTTAGTAGTATTCGTGCCAAATTTGAAGTTAATCCATGCAGTACTTTTTGAGTTTATCCCGGACATACATACAGACAAACAGACAATAATTCTAAAAACTATATTTTTGGTTTCGGTATCGATTTTAGTACACACCCCAAGTATTCTTATAAAAAAATATTCAATGTACAGTTTTGACTTTCCTACCATTTTATTAAATGTATAGATAAATCAAGTAAGCGTGTGTTTAATATCCATTTACAATACGAATTCACATTATTTTGTCAAACAGGAATAGATGGCGTGATGAATAAAAAAGCTTTCCTTTATTAGTTTGTTGCATACTCTTTTGTAATTATTTCTTATATTTTTTTTACTTTTTAAACGCCTATTGAGCGCGGTTTATTGTTTTTATTTAGAAACTTAGTTAAACATTAACGAACTCCTCAGTCCTGCGACTACGGATTCTGAAAGGATACGAAACCGCGGTAATGACAAAAACAATAAATCGCGCTCCATACTCTTTATATCAAAATGTACTTTATTACTGTACTAGCAAACCAGTGAACCAAATGTTCACAAAAAAAAAATGTATTTAATTAATTGAGAACTTCGGAGATTTTGTGTGGTTTCGTTTGAAATAGAAATCACGTGATTTCTCGAAAACCGGAAGTGCTACGTTACTCAAATCCGGTTTGTAGTCTTATCAGACTATTCTTAACTTATAATTTAAACATTCTCTTTATCTATCTCTTACGGTTTGGCCGCTGAAACAGCACCACAGACGGACGGACTTGTCTAGGACGAACTTGTCTATTAGATAAGAGACTAGCAAACTAGTGAACCAAATGTTCACCAAAAAAAAAATGTATTTAATTAATTGAGAACTCGGAGATTTTGTGTGGTTTCGTTTGAAATAGAAATCACGTGATTTCTCGAAAACCGGAAGTGCTACGTTACTCACATCCGGTTTGTAGTCTTATCAGACTATTCTCAACTTATAACTTAAGCATTCTTTTTATCTATCTCTTACGGTTTGGCCGCTGAAACAGCACCACGGACGGACGGACGGACTTGTCTTATAGATAAGAGATTCTTTTGTTTGTATGTAAACGATATCAAAAACCACGAGATACACCACGAGTGCTCAAAATGTGTATATCCTTCCAACTATAGCGACAAATCGTAAAATTTTACGAGCTTGCATTTCGAATTTTCATAACCCTTTTGACGTATTAGACCAGGGTCGATAATTTTTGAGACCAAAAAAAATTATAGTGGGAGGAAACCCATTAGAAAAGGTAGAGAATATAATATAAATGAAAGGAAAAATAAATTACGGGCGATCTGAGGTCGGGAAGGGGGAGGGGGTGAGTTTTTAAGGGTAAAAAATGGTTAATCTCGATTTCCGGTAAAACTGCAAGTCCTATGAAAAAATCTTAAATGGCAAAGTTGTAGGTAATAAAAAGATCTACAACTTTTGTATCGACACTTTTTTCACATAACCTCAAAATTTATGTGAAAAATGCGAATAACCGAGTTTTTGGTTTTTGATTTTTATTTTTTGCAAAAAAAAATATTTTTTCACGAAATTTGGTGAAAACTTACCTTTGTATGTCCCAAACATACAGTAATTTTTTTGATTTAAAATATTCATTTTTTCACCTTATTTTGACTTAATATCGAAAAAGCACCCTTATTTTCAATCGAAAATTCTCACGTCAAAATATCTGCTTTTTAAAAAAGTTGGGGTGTTTTTTGTTTGTTGAAATCTCTACTTTTTGATGGTATAAAAAAAATATACACTATTATGGTAAATGTTCTCAGAAACTGCAAATTAATAATGAAAAAAACTCCAATCCGAAAAATTGATTTGAATCATTATGTATAATTTTGAACTATTTATTAAAATTTACACTTTAATTACTCGAAAAACGTAAGATTTCATGTTATATTGATAAACAGAAAAATTACAAATCCATAAAACATGCAAAAATAGTTGTTGTAAGTAGGTATTAAAAATAGGATTTTCGGATTCGAGTTTTTTTCATTATTAATTTGCATTTTCTAAGAACATTTATCATAGTAGTGTATATTTTTCTCGACCTCAGATCGCCCGTAATTTATTTTTCCTTTCATTTTTATTATATTCTCTTCCTTTTCTAATGGGTTTCATCCTACTTTAATTTTTTTTCACTTTTCACCATTTTTAAAATTATCGACCCTGGTCTATATGCGTTTTAATTAAGAACTTATCTACTATATAAAAATAAGTCGGGTTTTCCTTCCTGACGCTATAACTCCAGAACGCACGAACCGATTTCCACGGTTTTGCATTCGTTGGAAAGGTCTCGTCTCCGTGAGGTTTATAGCAAAGAAAATTCAGGAAAAATTAAAAAAAAATCGTTTTCTTTTAATCACAAAACGAAATGTTACATAAAACGAAGCTATCTGGTGGCGAAACGGAGTTCGCTGGGTTTGCTAGTATATATATATATATACATACTATGCTTTAATGTTGATTTTTTTTAAATAATGCGTTATATTGATTTTGGGTCCGCCATCGTCCCACGGAGCTCCCTGGATCGTTCAATGTACCTTTTGGATAGGTTTCGGCCACGATTCTATTTTGCTCGTGATGTTGCATCTATGTTTTTTTTATATCGTTGTTGTATCTGTCTCAAAACCGTATCTCTCTGGCAGGCGTGGATACGTGCCTGAAGGTTCTCACGTTAATCCTGCTGGAGAACAAAGTCGTCGTCCAATCGCGCGACTACAACGCACTATCAATGTCGGTGATGGCGCTGGTGGCGATGTTGTATCCGCTCGAGTACATGTTCCCTGCGATTCCCTTACTGCCCAGCTGTATGAACTGCGCTGAGCAGTTACTGCTCGCGCCTACACCCTTTCTAATAGGAATACCGGCCACTTTCCTGACGTACAAGAAAAACTTCAGGTAAAGTACCAATTTACCTAATTGATTTATTCTGTAAGTTCCCTATTTATAAGAAGTTACCCTATTTGGACACGTGCCTGGAGGTTCTCGCGTTAATTCTGCTGAAGAACAAAGTCGTCGTCCAATTGCGACAACGCAATTAGCGAGTACGAGCTGCGCCGAGCAATTACTGCTCGCGCCTACGCCCTTTCTAATAGGAATACCGGCCACTTTCCTGACGTATATAAGCACCCACCATTTAATACAAGCACCCACTGCACTGGACCCTGAATATGGTGGGTTACTCTGTATCCATCACCGATAGTGCTTAGGAGTGGGGAGATTGTCAGGCTAATGATGACAATGACACATTTAATGATCAAACCAATCTAAACTCTGCCTTAATTTTAAGAGTTATCATACTGACCTGTTGTGAAAATATGACACATCATTCTAATGTCGCATATTTTCTGATAACATAATTATTTCAACGGCAGTGCTCCAATGTTTTAATAATAATACGTAAATTAAAACTAGTTCTATAAACGCTTCTTATCATTTCATAACAAGCATTAACCAATAGTTTCATTTACAGATTACCGGATGACATATGGCTTGTTGATCTGGACGCTACAAAACTAGTGGCCCCCTCTGGAAACGATCAAGATCTACCACCCTTACCGGAACCTGAGGGTTCCATTTTAAAAAATCATTTGAAACAGGTATGTGTAGTTAATATAGATAGTTTGATGTAAACTTGTCTAATTCACTATAATTACCCTTGAACATGATATCACCTAAACTTTCTATAATACTCGTACATGCACTCGTGAGCGCATTGTTCTCGATGTTGCTAAGCTAAGCTGCAATGTCCAGTGTTTGCATTCTTACTAACTTACAAATCTTTCATAGGAGTATGACAATCGACCAATTCTTAGGGCTAAGATCAATAAATTATTTTATTGCCTACCCACTTCGTACTAAAATTAACTGCTTTATCATATAACGTGAACTTAAGGTAGAATTGGTTTAAACCTCATGCTATCTCTATCTTTCCTTTAACAATATTGACACTATCACTTTAAGACTATTAGTTATAGTATTTGTGTGTTGTATAAAAAGGTTATAGTGCGACCAAGATCTTTATGAATGTGAGTGTTCAGGAATTTACGTAGATAGTCGTGTCGACTCTGGCATGATTCTCTAAACCTAAACCTAAATTTGACAACAGTGTACCCTTGTCATTTTCTATACAGAATGATAAAGAGAGACTGATGTTAAATTTAGTTTTAAGTTTAGAGAACCATGCCAGAATCGACACCATTGGCGCCCAACTGTCTACGTAAATGACATACAAAATATGACGTCTACAAAGACGGCGGCTTTAGTTCAAATTTTCGCCACATTCATAAAGATCTTGGTCTCACTGTAACTGTTTCCAAATTATACCATCTTTGATATTTCAATTCTATGCTTTTTGCGTATTTGGTTCAGATTAGTAAAAATATTTATCTAGACAGGTTGATAAATCAATATCATTTATTACTAAAATTAAATTAAATGATCATTCTTCAATAAAATAAAATAAATATATAACTTTTATTTATTTATCTTAGACCCTCCACTTTCTTTTACTTTTATCAGTTGATCAGCGTACTTACATAATTAATCTCACTAACGTACGCCCTCACTTTCCTATCGTCACTAGGCGGTGCACCTCATGGGAAGTGCTGGAACTGGTGTAAATATTAATTACTCCCTTATTACATTGCACACTTTGACTTTAATTCACTCAGTACTTATTACCTATTTGCTCAGATATGGTAATGCGGAAGCTACACTTTCAAAATAAAGTGCCTGTAAGTACAGTTGAAGAAATGTTGATCTTTAACTTTTATTATTTATACGATAATCGCTTAAGCTTGACTTCTATAATAGTAAAAACCTACCAAGATCACGCGAAGGCTGTTATCGCCTAAAAGTAGTTTATCACCAACTGCTTAAACTGTACGTATAGGTATACACGCCACGCTAACAACAATACTAAATGGAATTACAATTACACATTTTCTTTGTTACTAAAATTACACCAATCTAGTTATCTCTAATTGTGCCAATGTTTATTTTGAAAGGTAGCTTAAGGAACTGACTGAAATAAGTGTTAGTGCAACACACACGACATTACTTACCTACTTTCCTCTTCTAATTTACATTCATTAATACTAACACAATTTCAGTCAAAATCTGCGCTGAGTGCGGCATGTCGGTTGGATTGTCTTGTGGTGCTAATTATAAATGCTTCAATGGAAATTCGAGAGTAATTTTGCTTGGAGTTTCACGTGTTGGTAGTGCATTTGGTTGTTTTAAATCAGTAAAATAAATATGTACATATTTAAAAGTAGTTGTTAAATGAATGAGAATAAACTATTGCATAGTTGTAATGATCTTATTGTGTAAAATAATTGTATGTTTTAACTGACATAATTAAGTTATTTAAGCTTTCTGTTAATGGCCTTTTTAAATAAAAATAAAATTACAGTTTACTTTTATAAATCTAAACAATTTATTATATTGCGAACTTTTTTGCATAAATGTATTTGGTATTTTTTTACATCTAACTTATTTTTTTCACATCAGGCTTTAAGCAGTTTAACAAATACATCCGCCGAGCAGGCGAAAGCTCTCTTAATGCCATCTATAAGAGACAGCGTGGGTGGTGCGACGCTTAGGTAAGAAGTTATTTTTATAATATAATTTTTATTTTTCATGCAAATCACCTAATCAGTGGCTACGGTGAGAACAGTCAAATTCGCACACAATATAAGTACTTGATAATACTTGTCCTAATGAAACTAAATATATTCTGTAGTCCATCACCGAGATGAACCCTTTTTCTCTCAAATCGACTAAGTAAATCGACTGCGACATCTCTTTATGCCGCATCGATTTACTTCGATACACAATTCTATTCATACTTAGACGCGGAAGAATCCCTAAACGGGGATCCCGCGGCTTCGCGCTAAGCAGCTTAGAGGGTATTCGCAGGGATAGCTATAGCGGATATTATGCCGTAAAGCGCCCGTAAAAGTTACGGGGTCCTCAGTGGGCAGCCACTACTGGGGCTCGTAAGGCTTCCGGGAGCTAGATGTGAGCTCAGTTCAGTTTATTTGATTTTAATCTTCACCACAAAAGCAGTGTTACAGTCGCGAAAGTATAAAAAGAACACGAAAATACCGTAACATCGGTACTTTCCTTACTGTAAAATAATCTATTACGTTTTGATGTCAGAGTGCAACAGGCTTCGTTCCGTTCAGAAGGCAACTGGCCACATAGTACGCCGGAGAGCCGCCGCGTTTCCATTGGCAGCGCGTCTCCCACGCCGGCCAGCGCAGGCCACACGCCGCAGCGGTTATCGCTTGCATCGCCGCACCACCAACCGCAGCCGTTCAACCCGCTCATATACGGCAACGAAGTAGACTCTGTAGATGTCGCTACACGCGTCGCGATGGTGAGTACGGTCCAATATAGTCATATTATGGACGCGCGTCTTCCACGCCGGCCAGCGCGGGCCACACGCCGCAGCCGTTCAACCCGCTCATATAGGACAACGACGTCACTCCGTGGACGTCGCTACACGCGTCACGATGGTGAGTACTTACCGTCCAATATAGCCATGTAGACACGTTTTCATCGCAGCGCGTCTCCTACGCCGGCCATCGCGGGCCACACGCCGCAGCGGTTATCGCTTCCATCGCCGCACCACCAACCGCAACCGTTCAACCCGTTCATATACGGCAACGAAGTAGACTCTGTAGATGTCACTACACGCGTCGCGATGGAAAGTACGGTCCAATATGGAAATATGGACGCGCGTCTCCCACGCCTGCCAGCGCGGGTCAAACGTCGCAGCGGTTACCACTCGATCAGCCGCAGCTGTTCAACCCGCTGATATAAGGCAACGACGTCACTCCGTGGACGTCGCTACACTCAATACTTATATATATAAGACATTGTAAGCCTAATTATAAGAGTTCATAACTACAGTCAGATATATATTATTTTTCGCCCAAGTCTCACGCGTCACTGCAAAAGCAAGGTAGTTTTCCTTCTGTGTTGGTTTATGACAGTCAACCTAATAAGTTTTATCTTTTTTTCTAATTTCAACTAAGCATTGTTTTCGAAGACCTATGATGTGTATAATGATTTATCTTACATTTTCTGTTTTATAACCTGTCACTTTTTTCAGGTTCGGTTTTTCAACTCTCAAAACATATTAGCAAATTTTATGGAGCACACTCGAACTTTACGACTATACCCGCGGCCTGTGGTAGCGTTCCAGATCAACAGCTTTCTTAGATCTCGTCCTAGAACGACGTCCTTTTTAAATAAATTTGCTCGAACTCAGGTACGGTTTAAAAACAAGATATTCTTATTTACTCGTAAAGTAACCGATAACTGTTTTTGAATGAAAATATATTATTTTCACAGGCAGTAGAATTCCTCGCCGAGTGGTCACTAACTCCTTGCAATGTTGCGTTTTTGAGAGTTCAAACTGGCGTGTTTGATCCACGGCAAATCGGTGACAAACCTAAATGGTTTGCTGATCAGTTGCAACCTATTCGTTTCGCCGTCTGGGACGACGGCAGTTCATTGAACGGAGCTTTAAGACAATTACAGCGTCAAGAGAATCAGCCCACTGGTAAAATTATTACTTTGATAATAAGAATTGAACAATTGAAGAAATGTAAATTAACCATATTTTTTATCTAAAGAAAATATAGCTAGAAAAAAATCCACGCGGACCAGATAGTATTTGACATTGTGGGTTACCTACAATGCGAAGAGATGGCGCTGCCTTGCAGCTTAAGAATGGATAGAGGAATTTCGACGCAGTCCGTGAGGGCCGCGGTAGCATAATTGGTCAGTGCATTCGCCCGGATTGCGAAGGGTGTGGGTTCGAGTCCCGCCTGCTGCCTGGTCCGCGTGGAATTTTTTCTAGCTATATTTTCTTTAGATTTAAACATCATCAGCAGTTACATGCTTTAAAAAATTATAACATTTTTTTTTTACAGATGAAAGTGGTTCGGACTCCGATGCTGCTGAAAGTACAAGTTCCTCTTATTCTTCTCTTAGTGATTTCGTATCAGAGATGATATCGTCCGACCTCTCTCCGGGTAAGTATCGTACCGTACCTGCTTAGCATTTTTTGTATAAGTGCCATGCCGACCGTACATTCTTCACTTATTATCTCATAGGTGGGAACGTCCATCAACATGTTATTGGAGAAACATACAGCGCTGTTGTGCAAGTTCCAATGACACTATCGTCATCGTTGGATCCTAAAACGGTAAGGCAACTATATTCATATATATTTTTAAATACTATCGACCCATCTGTACGGTTTCCACACCTTTTTATGATAGAGTTGATAAAGTGAAAGGCCTGATATAAAATAAATGATATATTAAACAAATTAAACTTATAAGAATGACATGATAATTGATATGAGTATGCGCGGCAAGAATGAATACCGATGGCAGACTGATGTGAGCGTGACCTAAATTATCGTATGTGGCGTAAGTGCAAACTTGACAAAACTGTATGAGTCGGCTCGTACACCATCCTTGCTTTGCTTCTAATAAAATCCTAAAAAAATTAAGTCTTGTTTTAAACACTTGAGAAGATAAATTTCTTATTTTGATAAGAATTCAAGATTGTTGATAATATAACCAATAAACAATAAATCGATTTTATTTATTGTTTAAAATTATTTTTTCTTTTAACAACATCAAAATCGGTTAAGCGATTTAAGCTTGAAACGCACACAGTTAATTTTGCATTTATAATATATGTATGGCTTTATATCATTGGGAGTTTTAATCATGTTTTTTTTCAGGTTTACAGTCCACCGTCGTCGCTGATGTTCGGTGAGGGCGAAGAGGTAGTGCAGGGAGAGAGAGGGCGCGCCTCCACCTCTCCATCTCCCTCGGGCTCCAGTTCGGAACACAGTGACCTCTCCGACGACGAGGCACAAGACAACAGGGACTCCCATCACAATACAGACACTGCGCATCCACCGCCAGTCAAGAAAAGTGTACGTTAAAAGTTTTGAGAACATTCGAAACCGATCGTCTTAAATGTGTTAATAAACAGTATTGCATGCTTTGCACAAATTAGTCTAATGGTCGCACTCAGAAATATCGATTTACTTTTATGTTAGATTTAATGTGATGCTGTCAATTCTTGACTAGCAATAGAATAAACAACATTATGACTTATTGAAACTCTAAAAACTGTCTTTAGTTATATATAAAGCTATTAATATGCAGTTATGGTAAATCGACAATTGTAAAAATTTTACAAAGACAAACATATTTATTGACAGTTGAAATGAAACAATGGAATGAACTTAGAAAATTATTAAAATACCGAAACATGTACTTTCTCACTCTCTCTTTCTTTTTCTCTACAGTCACTTTTAAACTATCACATTGCATTCTAAATCTAATCTTTCGGATTAAATACTCTATCGTCTAGAATTGACTCGACACATTTAACCGCTATAGGATACGGACAGCGGCAGTTTCGGTCGCGAATCTGACTCTAACTCGACCACGACTCCTAAGACCGTGGTTAGTCGGCAGCGCGCCGCCGCCGACAGCACCAGCACTAGCGACTCGGACCGCGCGCTCACGCCCTCGCACCACTCATTGCCGCCCTCGCACCATGCGCAGATCAAGGTCGGTCGCCGATATATAGGACACGGTGCGAGTATAACTGAACTCAACAACGACCCCTGAGACCGTGGTAAGACCACACGCTCACGCCCTCGCCCCACGCGCAGTTCAAGGTCGGTCACCGATATAAAGCTCCGAAGCACCAGTCCTTGCCGCCCTTGCAACACGCGCAGATCAAGCTCGGTCACGGATATATGGGACACGGCGTGAGTCTAATTGATTGAGCTCTATCTACCACGACCCCAGAGAACGTGTTGAGACCAGCACTAGCGACTTGGACCGCGCGCTCACGCCCTCGCACCACAAGCAGATCAAGGTCGGTCACCGATATGTAGGACGCGGCGCGAGTCTGACTGAACTCGACCACGACTCCTGAGACAGCCCCAGCACTAGCGACTAGGACCGCGCGCTCAAACCCTCGCACCACTCGTTGCACCCTCGCACCATGCGCAGTTCAAGGTCGGTCACCGATATATAGGACGAGGCGCAAGTCTGACTGAACTCGACCACGACCCCTGAGACCGTGGTAGGTCCGCGCGTTCACACCCTCGCACTACCTTGGCGCGCTGCTAGCGACTAGCGGTAGTGCTGGTGCTGTCTCGCTGGACCGCGCACTCAAGCCCTCGCACCACTCCTTGCCGCCCTCGCACCACGCGCAGATAAGGTCTGTTATCGATATATAGGATACGGTGCGAGTCCGATTGAACTCGACCACGACCCCTGAGACCGTGGTAGGTCCGCGCGTTCACACCCTCGCACTACCCTGGCGCGCTGCGCAAATCAAGGTTGGTCGTCGCTCCGACACCAATGACCGTATTATGTACACTTAACGCCAGAAGTTCTGTTATTAGAGGGAGACATCATATGCTTACATAAAGCGGCATTTCGCTTCAACTGTTGTTTTTTTTACTGGCGTAATAGCGTTTAAGTGCTCATATTACGGCCTCAACGATTTCATTGTCTAACCATAACACTTTTCGCGCCATCCCCTTCAAAGCTTAAGAAAACTAACAATGTATTAGGATTGCCAAAAAAGCAATCGAAATCATATCATAGATATGTTTATTTATGACAAGCAAAAAACCTTAATATATTAGGGGTCTGTTGCTCGCACGCGCATTATGTAGTATGGTTGGCATTAAAGTAATTACTATAAACAGCAAGAAAAGTCGATATCACTTAATACAACCTTTTATAAAGTTGTTGAATGACCGTAATATAGTGGATACACTTCTACTTCAAAAACTGTTCTTAGAACTACGTTATAAAAATGTTATTATTGCTTAGTTGTAATAAAATAGTATAATTTGTAGAGTACGAGTAGTGGCGTATCCAGGCAAGCCTCGCAGTCTTCTCTATTGGAACAATTTGCCGCTCAAGCCAAAGAACTGGTCAGAGAAACTACTCGACAGAGTAGCCAAGAAGGCCTTCTTGCTCACATGGACAAGGTAAACTACTATGTATGTTAGTTATATCAGAAGAGCATAATATTAAATCAGTAAAAGAAAAATGTCTAGATAAGTTATTATAAATACAATATCCGCACCGAACCTCCATGACACTAAATAGGGTATTACAACCATTTTTGAAAAGTGTTTCAATTAAATTCTAAAGAGCTAATATCCTACTAAATAAAAAAATACTTTTATAGTCAATCGTTAAATGCCTTAAAAATGCATTTAAATTTAACATTATCAAATTCCTGCGCAGTTAAACGAAAACGCTGGACGCAGTGGACGCCATTTTTCTGTGCGGTCTTGACCTCATTAGAACTGTAAATAAATGCGTTACATTGGTTACGAATACATTAAAATTACTGAGTTGACAGCTGCCACTTTGGCATTTACTAGCGGTGTGACGTAATAATGTGGCGGCTACTACGTCTACTATCTCATCGTGTTTTAAAACAGATAAAAAACTGAAAACTTTGAATTGAATTTTAAAATGCATTTTGTTATTTTATGAACTAAAACTAACACTTTCCAACTCCTTTTTGCCTAAACATAATACATACATTATTATATTATTATACATAATATTTAAACAAAATAATACATTTATAGATTTTTTCTCAAGTACAGTGAAATACTCTATTTGCTATTTCTGAAACTGCTGTTTGCAGCTGGAGCATGAATTATTTTTGTTTCTTTTTCTTTAATATATGGAGAATAATTTAAATAGAAATATCAACATTGATTTAAATGATAACTAAAATAATTGTTACCAAAAAGGACCTACTTATTATTTTTTCGTTAGAACGACCTTACTACCAATTTCCGTTTTAATTATTATTTTTGTATTTTATTTATACGAATCAAAGAAAGGAAAAGTGACAGATGGGGAAGAAAAGAAAATGTTTGCTCCCTTTGGTCAGGTATAAGTAATCACTAAAGATCGGAAAATCGGATGCCTATTTACCGATAGTAATTTTTTGGCTAACAAATGATGGAAGCGGCTTCTTAGGATATTTTTATAAAAAATAAAATCCCGAGATTCTTGGATCGCATTACTATTCGGATTTTTAAGATAAATTTTAATTTCCCAGTCGAGTATGTAAGGTGTAAGAGAAATGGTGGTGTGGTTAATAAGAATACGTAAATGTATATAAAAGTATTATAATTTTGTATAATTATAGGTTGTACACATTATTTTTATGTTATACAAACAGGGCAACTTTCATTTATGTCAATCTAGGTTTATTAGATCCCACGGAGTATACACATAAATTGGAGTTTCCCGGAATCATCTTTCCATAATAGCCAACATCTCAACTTCAAGTAAATATGCATCCGATTACCCGATCACTAGTAATCATCGAGTGACCGCTTTCAAATCACCTAGATTTATAAAAAAGAACTTCGTAAAATATATTAGTACAGTACTGGCGCCAATTCTGACGTGATTCTCTAAACTTAAAACTAAATTTGACACCAGTCTCTCCTTTTCATCCTGTATAGAGAATGACAAGGATATACTGCTGTCAAATTTAAGTTTAGGTTTAGATAATCATGCTAGAATCGACACCATCATGTACATAACTAAATCCACCATCCACAACTCAAAATGAATATTTTAAAACTGATGCATTCACGCTACAAGCTAATTAGAACTTTGCACGTCAATAAAATAAGCTGCAATCACATTACAAGTACTCTGGGTAGTCCTTTGCCACCTAATAATCTTTTCTTATATTTAAATTTAATCGAAAGCCAGGCAGATAACACGTCATACACACCTATTAACCAAATTCAAGTAGTTTTTTATTAGCTTACTTTTTTTGCTTAGATGGGGTTTTCATTATATTGATTTAGTTTAAATAATGAAGAATTATTTAAATATTAAAATTTTCCATAGCTCACACTGCACGCTAAAAAGGCCGCCGAAGAAGCGTCGAAGAGTATGCAAGAGGCATCTAAATCAGCGTTAGAGGCCAGCAAAACGGCCACCGCAGTTAGTAAAAATACCTTTGAGGATCTCACTTACGTCAGCAAGTCTACTTTTGGTGACCTTACCAAAAGCGCAAAGGAAGCGGCTGCTAAGAAAGGGCTGTTGAAGGTGATTGATTCTATTATTTTTTTATAGTTTCAAACACTTAACGCTTTTTTTATTATGTTCATCTTCAATGGAAAATAAGGAATATCAAAGTAATCTAGAAATAATTATATGTTAAGTGTTCCAAAAAGGAGGTAGCAGAACTAATTGAATTAAAAAATCTGTTCCAATTTCAAATAGAAATTTCGTATAATTTTTTGAGCGCTTATTTTTGTAGGACTTGGCTTCTTTAATGAGGGCTATCGCGTATGAATCCGCCGCTAGAGGCGCTAGTGTAGCGTGAGGTCTCCGAAATGTCAAATGTTATTGCTTGTTGGTTGACTACGCGGGTTTATTTCTTATTAAAATAATGTTGTGAATAATTGGTAACAATTCGGCTTAATTATGGCAAATATGAGTTATGTGGCAATGAATGTCAGTTATTAAAAATTTGAGCTTAGAAAAATGATTATGTTCCCATTTTTTCCGAATAAAACGGAACTGGGCGTCACTGTGGCATGGCCTATTATGTTTAGGATATGGTTCTTTTGTGTTAAAATACGATCTAAATGTAACCTTTGATTTCATGTGCGTATTAATAAACTTTAAAAGTTACAATTTAGGACCTCACTCAACAGTGGCGCCATCTGGTGAGACAGAAAACGGTAGCCCTCATTAAGTCGGTCTGCTTTCATCATGCCGCGTAGGAGCTATACTCGTTTCCTTCAGGAAGCAAGGAGTTCTGGTTCCTAGCGAAGTGTGTCGAGCTTAACTTTTTCCGCTCCTCACTTCCTACTCTGCATTAACTTGATGGTACACTGGCGCACACCGCAATGAGGATCATTACTAAGTCAGCAAATCAACTTAAAATCAACAGTATAAAGATTCAATCAGCTTTTTAATTAATATACTTTTTAAATCATCGTAATCGGTTCATTCGTTGCGATTTAATAACAAATTTTATGGTAGCCAATATTCACTGTCGGCCAAAACGTGTGAAGTGACAGAGCTCGATCGTGGTTCACTCTGGTAGAACTTTAGTAGCGTCTCTACGTACGCTCGCGCCCGAGCGCTAGAACTCTGTGACGTCACAGCCACCACGCGGGCAGCCGAAAATTCGTTTAGTCATTTGGTCATAACTTCGTCAATATGTGTCGTAGAACAAAAATTTTATCACTGCAATACGCAATACGGAATTCGCCAGCGTCGTTCATCTGGAGATCTTCTCGTGTACGCCACATACCTTTGGGATGAGACCCTTGATAAACAAGGCGATGCACTAGCTTAGTATGATGGCCTCATAGCTAAGCTTCCTACTGATGGAATCCCCACAAGACTTTATGCTTTGTTTTTGAATTCTTGAGGGAACGATCTATTCGAGTATTTATTGATGGCTGCTCGTCCGATATATTGGTAATGAATTCTGGTGTACCTAAGGGATCTGTGCACTCCATAACGTTGTTCCTGCTACATAGAAACAACTTGCTCAAGTCCGGTATATATTGGTATGCAGACGATAGCACGATCTCGGAGAGATGTTTTCCTGCGCAGGGGCTAAAAAGCCAGATACAGACAAGCTGAGAGTGGAAATGGTTGAACGCATTAATAACAGCGTTTTACCTACCAATAAAACGCTTATTAAGCGAGTTACCTTATTCGAAGCCTACATATCGAGAGTAGCATTTCCGTTTCCTCTTAGCGTGTCAATTCGGTCATGATACTTACGTCACGTACTACGTCACATCCGCCCCCGCCTCTGGCGTCCCCACTTTTTTACTCGCACCAGGCAGCCGGGCCAGCATGTCAGCGGTCTAGCTCATTGAGAGAAACTTATTTTTGAGGGTACTTTTAGATAACTGAACTTAATCATCATTCAATATCATAAGGGTAATAAAGTGTAATCATAATATATACCTACTTACACTCACGTATTGAAGTGCTTGACAAGTTTTGTGTTTATGTGGATGAAAGTGGATCGTTAGTTTTGTATGTCTTTAAAGTACCCGAAACGCCCAGATGTCCAGGCAGAACTATTACTGTAGGCTTCGAATAAGGTAACTCGCTTAATAAGCGTTTTATTGGTAGGTAAAACGCTGTTATTAAGCTTATGTACCGTTATTCGAAGCCTACATATCGAGATCTGTTTGTTATCGCCTGGTGCTATCAAATAAGAAACGCCAATGTGAGCTAACGAGGAGAACTGAAGTGAAATAATTTAATAACATTATAAATAGGTATAGATGGCCAAGAAAATTCGTAAGAGATTGTGGCATCAGTGCATTAGTGAATTAATATTTCAGATGCTTGCACTGCTTAAAGGAGAAATAATGAAGTGAAATATATTTACTATATACAAAATTAATCATAAATACCTATAATACCTTGGGGTATCGATTTATTCGAAAGTAAGCTAGTATTAAAAATAAAACAAACATTTAAAAATTTTTCCTCTTTGATTTATTTCTCTGGTGAAATGATATAGTTAGAAGTAATAATTATATAATAAATCACACTTAAGCACTATAAAGTAATTTTATTTCTGACTTACAATCCAAGATTATGTTCAATATAATTTCACAATAGGATAAAAACAATACAGTAGTAATCTATTATCAACTTTACATATTTCAAGCTTCTTTTTAAATGATTTACACACATTACACATTAGTTGGCATGACAATTGAAATAGTTAAGATGAAAATCACTTTAGTTATATTTATAACTAAGAAATAAACTGTACAAAGCCAATATGAATCTGATACAAACTAAACCTCAAACCGTGTGGGATATACCACTATAGAATAGGAGTAAAACAATCAGTAACGCCTTGTAAATTGGATTGCACCGTTGGTCGAATTTCTCGACAATAAAATTTCTTAAATGTATTCTCTGAACGCCAATTACCCCTAGACAAAATATCCTCGAGATTACAATTTTGTATCCAACTCTTGGAAGCAACAGCAGGTCGTAGGCTACCAGGGCTTGCTTGTATACCTGCTTGCAGTAAAATCTTTTTAACCCAATTCGCGATTATTGTTCGTGTAGCCGCCTTAGGGGTACCAGAGGTTGTTAGAAATAAATTATTACTTTTGCATATTTCTCTTCGTTGTTTAGATAGGAAAATAACTCTTTTAATCCAATAAACTGGATCTAGAAATTTACTATAAGTGTTTTCAATCAACCGCCAACCGGATTAATGATTATCACTAGAGTCTGTTTTTGACCCAAATTTTGGCCAAAATATTATAGAGCTGTTATTAATTATACAATTTTCGGGGCTTATATCCAAGAGAGTGAGGTCGTGAACCCGGCGACCAGAACACAATAGTAATAAGACTGCTGTCCTTTGTGAGCAATCGTAAAGACTATTCTCATTTTGGCCGTTATTTTGTAACCATGCTATCAAAATATCGGTATCCCATATTGGGGATTTATTTATTTTGGGAGATATTAGTGAAATCGCTTTTAAAGCGTGCTTAACTACAATATCAGAACTTAAACGGAGACTTAAAGAGGGGTCACAAAGCGTTGCAACCGCTGACTTGTACACTAATATGGTACTGTATGCAAGCCCCTCTTTTTGGGAAAGGTCAATAAGAAATCTTGCCAAATCCGACCCTGTAGGTTGGATGAGGTTTACGCCATTTTCACAAGACCATTTACACCACTTCTGCCACGCTGGTTTGGATGTTTTTAGGGAAGAATCTCGCCAACTAGATTTTAAAAAGTCTAGTTGTGATTTGGACCATTGTTGGAGGTATTGCGTCCACCCCCACATTTCCATACTTCCAGGGTCATGTTGAGAATGTTGGGTGGGGCTTTGCCTGTGGACACATCTATCAAGACTCTTGTTCAGTTCCTGGATTGTGAAAGGTGCTGCTTTGGCCCGGTTTTTGAGGTCCGGCCTCCAAAACACTTTCGGCCACTTTGGCGCCACTATCAAGTACGTGCCTGTCGAGCGATTTAGATGGGCTAGAACACGAGGGATTAAGTATGGGGGAGGAAATACCCAGGCTAGGGTGTAATGCCAAGTTAGACTGAATGCATCGTGGATTTGCGCTTTGTAGTCGGTCACGTCTAACGTCCCGTAAGCGGGGACTACGTGAGCTTTCGCCGATGCAAACAAATCTATCTCTGGTTTGCCCCATTTCGAGAAAATTATCTCCGTTATGTCTGGTAACAAATGCCACTCCGGGGAGCTCGTCATCCGAGACAAGCTGTCTGCCTCGGAGTTGAAGCGGCCCGGTATATGATGGACTTCCAGGTGGATACTGTATAGATCCAGTAAGTGGAAAATGTCGTATGTTATATTCATTAACGACTGAGACTTCGTTCCTCCTTCGTGCCTGAGATAGGAAACTACTGAAGTATTGTCGGTTTGAACCATCAAAGATGACCCGGTTAGGCGTTGACAATGGTCTCTTAGGGCGTACAGGACAGCCAACATTTCTTTTTGGTTGGAATGGAGGTTCGATTCCTCTAACGACCATTGACCTGCTAACTTCAGGTTGTCTAGAAGTCCACCCCATGCCTGATCGGATGCATCTGTCACCAGATAATGAGTTACTGGAGCATGATGTATAACTGATGGGTTCCCTACGTTGTGGAACCACCACACCAGTTACCGTTGTGCAGACATCGGGACAGGGTAACGGCGTAGGGGACTTTGATGTAGTAACGAGTGCACGAGCTTCAAAAGATATCGATGGTTGAGACGTCCTCGTGGGACAGTAAAACTGGCAAAGTTCAGTGATCCTACTAATATTTGAACTTCTTTCAAATTTATGGTTTTGCGGGTAGTTATTTTCGCGATTTTGTTGCGTAAGTTTATTTGCTTTTTTTGGCGGGAGAAATTTCTGATTTACGTGTGGGTACCACAGAATACCTAGAAACTCTATATACTTCTGCGGTATCAAAATCGATTTTCTTAGGTTTATTTGCCATCCAAGTTTTTGTAGGGTAACCATCACATCGTGGACTTGATTTTTCAGCATCTGTGGATCCTGGTTGGCCAATAAAAAATCGTCTAAATATACTACTATTCGCATTCCACGTTCTCTGAGGATTTGGGCGATCCAATTGGTTAGGGAAGCGAATATTTTTGGGGCACAAGCCAAACCGAAGGGTAGGCAAGTCATTTGGAATAAATGGCCTTTGAATATCAAACGAAGGAAGCACCTGTGAGCTTCTGCAATTGGCAGATGAAAATACGCGTTCGAGAGATCTATTTTCGCTAGCCAATCCCCTGCTTGTATGAAGTCTGGGATTCTGTGCATATTTATTAGGTGAAATTTGCTTATCTGAACGTAGAAGTTTAGGTTTTTTAAATTGAAAATTGGCCGGAGTGTGCCGTCGCTTTTGGGGGTCAGAAACATGGGCGAGATAAAACTGGGGCTCGGGGTTGCCGGCTCCAGAACGCCCGATTGTAATAGTTCGGTTATAACAGTCTCCATTTCTTTGGACTGTGGGGTTTGAAATTTCGTAACCTCTGGTCTGTGCAATGGGGGTTTGCAATAAAAGGGTATTCGAAACCCCTGAATTATTTTTAAAAGAAACGGAGGGGCATTTAATATTTTCCATTGGTCTATGTATTTGGCCAGCTGACCTGCTCGGAATTGGTTCGAGTCAGTATTTTCTTTTCTGTGGGTAGTCCTTGCGGGGGACATTAGGTTTATTTCTTGATTTACTACCGGTAGAGCAGTGAAATCCATTTGGGTTGATCGTTTGCTGCCGTGTGGGCTTATTGTTTTGTAGGTTATATCGTTTTTGTGATCGAATATTTCCTTGCGTAGGAAATGCAGGCAAGTAGGGACCTTGCATTGGAAATTTTGGAAATGGAAAAGGTTTGTTTCCGCAATTAAAGTCATACGAGCCTTGCGCAGGCATTTTCATATTTGTGTATGGTTGTATGGAGCCGCCTGCTTGCGCAGCAGACTTATTTACAGATGGCACACGGAGTGGCCACATTATTTTATATACACCGCCATTTTTTTCTATTGCAGCCGATAAAGAATCTTTATTGAATAAATTTTCAGCAGTTGGGGGTATACGCCTCAATGCCGCCCTAATGTACTTGTCTTTAACAGATCTTAAGATATAGTCACGTCTTTGTTGTATTAAATCAGCTCGATGGCCGCACGCTATTTGTAATGCATCATTAGAAATTTCTTGGAAACTACCCTCAATAAAAATTTCATTAATTTTAGATTGAATAGACTGTGGTGAAAGCTCGGCAGTTTTCGACCATGAAATTAGCGCTTCAAAGCCGCTTTGTGCACTTTGCGACTGCTTTATTAATGCCTGGGATATTGCCGCGAAACCACGTTCACAAAGACTAAGATTATTATATTTATCGTAAGATTTGAACTCTTCATTAGTTTCGAGATTTGTATAGCCAGGATAAGAGCAATATTGCTTTTGAACATCTACATATCTAACATTAGTCCAATTATCTGAATCAAAATGCTGAACGGATTTAATTGTAGCAAGCAAACTATCTGATGTTTTATGCATGGCAGGTTCTTTAAGTACAGTACGAATAGGGAGTTTAATAGCTGTGGGTTCTGGCGGAGCTCTCGGGCTTTGTGATGCATGAGAAGGTCCAGCCTGCGGTTCTGAATAAAGATCCCGGCTTATGTCAGCCTCCATCGAGACACTATTGGGACTAGACTGGTAAATAGGTTGAAAGCCCTGGTAGCCATTTGACAGAATATTCATGATAGCACTGACCTGTTCAGAGAGATTCTTTATCTCTTCACCGTATTTACGACGTTTAGGTGGTTGAACAGAATCCGTGGTCTCCGGCGCCTTCCTTTTTGAAGATTCGGCAGACGCTGGCTGTGCGGTAATTTTGTCCTCCAACGATGAAGTAGAGCTTGATTCGAAAACCATATTTCTATCTGAAAATCACCCGCATATTAGAAAATAATATAAAAAATCCTTGAATTAATAACGAGTTCTCGTTATTAGTTCTGAAATAAAAGAAACCTTAAGTAGCCGTGACGTAATTTTGTAAAACGAACGGCAAACCGTTAATTTTATAAATATTATTTAGAGAATATTTTAAGTAAAAAGTACATACCAGTTGGTAATATCTTTTTGGCACGACCGAACGCTCTGGAAAATGAAACGCCAATGAGCTAGACCGCTGCCATGCTGGCCCGGCTGCCTGGTGCGAGTAAAAAAGTGGGGACGCCAGAGGCGGGGGCGGATGTGACGTAGTACGTGACGTAAGTATCATGACCGAATTGACACGCTAAGAGGAAACGGAAATGCTACTCTCGATATGTAGGCTTCGAATAACGGTACATAAGCTTAATTCAACCCTTCAAACGGTATTTGAATGGGGCGAGGCCAAACTTGTCAACTTTAGTTCCACGAAAACTCAGGCGTGCCTTTTTTTGCTAAAAAGAGCCCATTCAACATAACACTTTCCGAAATGTGTTGTGCCTGTAACAATAACCCAACACCTTCAACTCCTTGGTGTGGATTTGTCATCCAACCTTAATTTTGGAAGTTACATAGAATCAAAGGCTAAGTCTGCGTTATACAAAAAATTGAATCTTTATTCGGCATAAGTTCGCTCTTGCATAGAGTATTGCTGCCACCTGTGGGTGGGGTGGATCCATCCAGCCATACCAGCTAAGAACTCGGAAAGATATTGAGAAACGTGCTAGGGAACTCATAGGTGATCAAAATACTCACAACCAGAAGTAAACGCTTGAACATCGCCGCCTGGTTGCGAGTCTGGGTATTTTCTTAATGTTATGTTTCGGAAAGTGTGTACAAGAACCATGCGAATTAATTCTGCCTGCACGTTTTTATGTTAAAAAGATGCAGACTGAATTAATTCGGGCAATGAGACGTAGACAGGGTCATCATCCGTACGTGGTTGATATACCTCCGCTGGACCGCACCTCATGATGCGCATCCTCCTTTATCATGCGAAGCGCTAGGGAATGGAACTCCCTGCCTGCATTCGTTTTCTCCAATAGGGACCTTCAAGACAAGAGTGAAGCGTTTGGCCACAATCGATGCAACGATGTGGTCTAAGCTGCGCTTCATATAAACTTCATATTTATAATAAAAAAATAGGAAAAGAGCATTTATTACTTCTATGGAAACTACTTTTGTTCTTTTTATCTATTATACAAAAAGTTGAAATTATATAATATACCTACTTACTCGTATTTATTTGAAAATTGAACAATTTTGCGCGGTACGTCTTGAAAATTAAAAAAATTGAATTATTGTTGTAGGGCGAGAGTCAAGACTCGACGGGCAGTGCGACAGCGCGACGCGACTCAACAGCTCTGCAGACGACTAATTTACTAACAACTACACACAGAGATTTCTTCTCAAATATCAGCTCCGACCTTAACGGTCTTGCGGCGTCAACGTCCAGTATGTTCAGCGATTTCTTCGGGTCCAAAGGTATCGGTTATAACAAACTAATGTTAAGAGTCTCATAGACATACATGGCCTGCGGCGGCGGCCGGGGTGGTGGCTAGTTGTATTCGCTTGCAATGTAAGCGAGAGCTCAAACACGATTGACCAATAAGAGCTGGCTGTGACCGCAGGCCGCCTCTGTCTGTGAGACCCTTTATGCTGGCATGTGAAGACATGGCTATTCGTATTACCTAATTGTCATTTTGGTAGCAGCTTGTCTTCCTCATAGACTTATATATTCAAATATAACTAGCAATCGCACTTAATTTTGATAAAATACACATCGTAGGTAGTACAACCACTCAGACCCGAGGCTAGGAACGAACTGTTAGACTATTTTATTTAAAACACGACAGACGTTCGCATACAGGGTGTAAAAAACCTATGACAAAGACAAACTACGCATTCTGTACACCCAAACAAGTAATATTACAAAATATTATACGTGGGAAACATTTTGTATTTTTACGTTAAAAAATACATTTTTTTCCAGTACTCAATGTAAAGCGCGGCGCGTGCATTTGAAAACTTTCGGTGGTCAGAAATAACAAAATGAAATCGTAAGCGACAGCGATAGCCATAGCAAGCCCGTTAGGCGATTGGCCCCCTGGAACCTTACTCACCTTCAGAAACATAACACCATCAAAATAGGTTATTTTACTATGGTGATCTTCTGTAAGGTGAAGGTTCGTTTAAGACTTGGATTGAGGCAATACTTTTCCGGATAAATTTTAGGTCGCGAGCGGCTGCTAGTTATACTATATTGTAAAACTGACTAAGTTTGCATCTTATTAAGGCAAACAAGCCAAGCCGGAGCCGGCGCGGTCGCCAGCGGCGGGTGGTAGTCAGCCGAGCGCGGGTGCAGCGGCGAGCTTCGGTCCGTTCTCTCAGGGCGCGCGCGGTCTGGTGGCGCGGTCACCGCTCATACGTCACGCGCCGCCGACGCCGCCGCCCGCGCCACTTCACGCGCGCTCCACTGCTAACTCCGAGAACCAGGCCTTTCTTAATGATGTCAGTATCGACCACATCATGATTTATCTAACTTCGGCAACTTTTTAGCGATATCGTTGTACAGACGAGCCAAGCGGACGACCGATGCACTGCCATGATGATGATCAGCCTACTTATGTCCCCACAGCTGGGGCACAAGCCTTCTTTAAAGATGGAATAGAGAGAATGTGTCATTGGTGGGTGCTAACGACTGCAGATGCAGCCGGGACCAACGGCTTCACGTGCCCTGCAAAACACGGAAGAGTTCGAGATAATTAGTTTTCGGTCACCCATCTAATGACCAATCGTTGCGAAAGTTGTTTAACTTTTACAATCGCAGGGCGAATGCGCTAACCACCACCCACGCCATCGAACTCCTCTCCGCGCACACACAAGGGCACAATGTTAATAAAATATGTTGTAGGTAAATTTAATATGCATTGAAAACCGGTTATTTATATATACAATGACATTTGTAGTTTCCATGGTAACGCTCGTATACACATCAGTTAACATTTACGCTCGCTGCTCATAAGACACGCGCCGCCGCACGCGCGCTCCACCGCCAACTCCGATAACCAAGCCTTTCTCAAAGACGTCAGTACCGACCCCAACATCATCATAAGCCTGCTCATATCCTCACTGCAGGGACACAGGCCTTCCCTATGGATGGAATAGGGAGATTGGGCCACGCTTGCTCAGTGCATATCGGTGGGTGCTAACGACTGAATTTGCAGTCGTGACTAACAGCTAATTAGCTTTTAGGTTTACGCCCTACATTCTTGTCGAGATACTAGTCGGAAATGATTCACTGCGTGGCGTAGTTATTAATCGTAGGCCCTATTAGTGAAGCTGCAAATCGTCCCCAGTGTCTGCTTATTGCTGCAGCATAATGCTACGGTGGAGTCCTAATTGACCTTTTTTCTTGTACTTTTTTGTGATTCATTTTTATTCAGGCCAACAAAATGTATTTTTTTCTTTCTTAAAAACGATCACCTACTATCCCATCGCCAACAGCTTTGCTCACATCTTAAAACTTTACACCGTACTCGGACACTTACAAACCATGCACCACTGATATAATTCTCAGGACCATAACTAGTTTCTACCGCCAAACCTGATTGTAAAGAAATCTTCAACGATATCTGTTATTCCTCTACCGACTACTGGTAGTTCCAAGTCCTACTATCTGTAGTTGCGTACGAAATGAAACCCTTACTATATAGTTCTCTATATCTTCCACAGAAAATACAATTTTGTTATAAAGTTTTCCTACAGTGAAATGACAAAGTCTTATATAACATTTCTGATGTAGCCAGTAATTAAAATAATTTATTATTATAGCTCGTGCAACACGTTTTGGAAGGCGAAGGTGTCGGTTGGCTGAAGCTCAACCGTCTGAAGAAATTGATGGAGGACGAGTCATATAGGAACATGGTGCTGAGTAAACTTAACAGAAATTTCAACAGGAAGGCTACACCGAATGATAAAGTGGACGATGTGGTAAATAAGACACATTTACATTTTTAAGTTTTTATTGGCACTGATAAAATTATTTTCCAGTGATTAAAAATTAGTTGTTTACTTATATTTTTGCAATTTTGAGTAAAAACCCCTTTATAAACAAAAAGCACCTATGCCAGGCGGCTCAGCTTATACTTTGGCAAGCCAACAAACTGGGTGTAGCAGAGCATCAAAAAGTCTAAAATTAACATGAGAAAGAGATGAAGTACTCTTCGCAATCCGGGCGAATGTACTTACCAATTATGCTACCGCGGCCCTCATGGACCGCGTCGAAATTCTTCTAGCCATTCTTAAGCTGCAAGGCATCGCCATCTCTTGGCATTATAGGTAACCCACAATGTCAAATGAATACTTTTACAAGTATTAAACATTTGAAAGAAGAAATAGCAATTATGCTACCGCGGCCATAATTGGTCGGTGCATTCGCCCGGATTACGAAGGGTGCGGGTTCGAGTCCCGTCTGCTGCCTGGTCCGCGTGGATTTTTTTCTAGTTATATTTTCTTTAGATTTCAACATCAAGCAGTTACATGCTTTAAAATAATAAAAATTATAATGAGAAAGATTGTAATAATTAGTGATGTAACGAATATTCGCATTCGCGAATAATCGCATATTTTTGAATATTCGCATTCACATTCGCATTTGCAAAATCTCTGCGAATGTTTTGCGAATATGAATATTAGAAAAAAACAATTTGAAGAATTTCTAGTTCTGCCTTTCCTTGAATATTCATTGTTACACAGTTTGCATTTAGCTCGTTCAGCATCGCAAAGTGTGAAATAAGTCCATGTTTCACTAGAATTCGATTTACTCATGTTAATAAATCACTATTACCACTCACAATCACTAACCTCAAAATTCACTTGTTTTGTTTACCGAAAGACCGGTGCGAGCGGAATGACACCTCAGTCGGATGAGTTCATATCAACTCGGCAATTCGAACGAGACTGCCACCATGCCATAGACAATTGGCGCCAATTTAAAAAAAACTAAATATTCGCATTCGGTATTCGCGAATGTCGGTACCAGACATTCGCATCAGAATTCGCATTCGCGAATGTTCAAAAAATGACATTCGTTACATCACTAGTAATAATAGGGCACATTCTTTATTTTTCGCCTATATTTGAGCTTGGAGTAACAAAAATGTAAAAGAAAAACCCACAAAATTAAACCTTAGTTTAAAAATTACAAATTTAGCAACTTTTATTACAAACGAACACCACAAGAAATCAAACATTATATAATTTTAATTGTGTTGTGCGCAGTTCGTGAGTAAACCAGTGTGGAAAGGCATGTTGAAAGTACTTCAAGCTGTAGTGCACGGTCTGGAACATACATATTCCAACTTCGGTCTCGGCGGTATGGCGTCCGTATTCCAATTGGCCGAGATGGCACACACACATTACTGGAGCAAGGAGATCGCCGGCCTAGAGCACGGAGGAATGGGTGGTTCTGCACTCGACAGTAGACACGATCTGGACACACCCTCGTCTTCGCCCTCGTCTAGAAAAAGCTCGCAATCAGGTAATTCTACTAATATCATGCGTAGCATTACTGGAGCAAAGAGATCGCCGGCCTAGATCATGGGGGGGTCGGTTCCACATTCGACAGTAGACCTGGTCAACACAACCTTATCTTCGCCCTTGTCTATAAGAAGCTCGCAAACAGGTAATCCTACTAATATCATGAGTAGTATTACTGGAATAAGGAGATAGCCGGCCTAGAGCATGGGAGGGGGTCGGTTCCGCACTTGACAGTTGATACGATCTGGACACGCCCTCATCTTCGCCCTCGTCTAGAAAAGGCTTGCAAACAGGTATTTATACTAATATCATGAGTAGCATTATTGGAACAAGGAGATCGCCGCCCTAGAGCACGGGGGCACACTCGACAGAAGACACGATCAGTAGGCCTATTCGCTAACACCTTTTGACAGATGGAAGTGATAATCACCGAGCTATTTAGTGATCCACTACTGCTTTATTATAACGCCATTAAGATACTTGTTCTGAAAAGCATCGATGGATATGCAATATTTTCTTTAGTTACACTATAACGCCATTAAGATACTTGTTCTGAAAAGCATCGATGGATATGCAATATTTTCTTTAGTTACACACTGTAAATTTCAAAAAAGTTAGCGAATAGGCCGGCTGGACACGCCTTCATCTTCGCCCTCCTCTTTTTTTCAATGGTAGTTCAATTTTCAATTCAATTTTGTTCTGCGTGTTGGAGACATAAAAACCTTTATTTATTTATTATTTATTTAATCATTGATGCATTATTTTATCATATTTTAATACCTTGCCAACCTGTAAACATCAGGTTGTTGGCAAGCCAACGCTCGTTTTCCTTACAGTATCAATCTAAAATAATTCTATTTTTATAAACTTACAAATTATATTAAACTACTGTTAACATATGACCAAGCTATTTTAAAGTGACTATCTGTTACAAATACATAATTTACGCATCAATCTAAAGAATTTTATTATGCTCCCAATTTGAATAAGGAAATTTTGACTTAAATAATTAGTTGCAAAAAATCAAGCGGTTCACTGTGAAGATTAACAATGTGATGACAATACATAGTGTTTGCTTATACAAAATAATAATAACAATAATGTGTCCTCATTTCTGTAAAATTTCTTTCAAGGATTTCTTTAATATTTGTATGCTAACATTCTTATTGTTTCTTACCCAATCGAATTTGTTAAGAATTTTTGGTGTTTTAATTATCTGTTCTCATCCCATAACTATTTTTAACTTTATGTATAATAAACTTCCTTTCCCTAACACTAATTGTATTATACCTATTGACAACGAGGGGTTTATCCCACAAATTGTAATAGTTTTCTTTTAATATTAAATTATCCACTTTCTTATATACTGGCAATATCCTTCATACTTTATATAATTTACTGTAATCCTGTTTTCATTTTTTTCTTGTGTTTTGAACAACTATATATTTCAGTAAACTTATTTGAATATTTTTTATCTCTTTTATACTTATATGTTTTATAAGCACGTCCATATACACTAAGACCATAACTAATGAATGATCTAGCAAGAGCATGATATACCATTGGTAGTGTCCGTCTGTCTAATATTTTCCATCATACTTTATCTATACTAACTACCACCGAAATATATAATGCTCTGGTCCCCTTATTTTATAAACAGGCAATAAGCTTAAACTAGTTACGCCGTGTTTTGTTCACGTCACGCAAATGCTATTTATTATTCAATAGACAGAGACAAAAAAAACATGTGACTAATCCAAACGTTGTCCTCGTTTATTAATAAGGGGGTGGGAGTATAGTGTTAGATGCATCATAATTCAGTGCCGCAAACACAATATTGCGCTCATTAGTTAGGGTTAAGTACCTTAAATTGTATAATCTGGGGGCTGACTGTATAACTTTCAATTTTTCGTTTTCCTTTTCAAAGATTAAGAAAAATGACAATACCAATACGTGAGCATTGACAAGGATTCACAGTTATACTTTTTTGTAGATGTACCGATTGTGAACTACCCTGAAATGGATCCAGCTGATTCGCAAAGCACTACTGAAATGTTCAAAGACATGTTGAATCAGAAAAGAAACCTTCTCTTCAGCAAGTTGACCTCATTCGAATCAGACGTAAGTTTCAAACGATGTCCCTATTTTTACTTAGTGTTGTAACAATGTTGCATGGTAAAGGAACTGTCGGATTGATTTAATATGTACCTATCTATATGTATCGATGTTCTTACGACATTATACTCTTGAGCATGGTATCAAAATGTTTGTTATTTGTCCGCGTTTTGGTAACTCTTTATTGTGAGTTATTTTCATACAATCCTAATATGTATTATAAATTTTGATGATTTGTGTAGGTATGTTTACTAATTCCGCTCTTTTATTTACATACCGTTTACACTGACATCATTTTGAATGTTTCTACTTTAATTGGTCATAATTTACTAAACATAACAATAAAATAATTTTATATAAATCTGTCATTTTATGTACTGTACACTAAAATTTGAGTGTTTTATTACCTTATTATTTACTAAGAATGTCAACATAAACATTATTTAATTATATATTTATTTAAATATTTCTTTTATTGTTATGGGATTGGAAATTAAGGTATTTGTTTGCCTTTTTCATAATATATATACGCTCGTTTTTTTTTACTTATCACGATTCCAGCAATCCTCCAAAATACATTTATTTAATACATAGGTATGTAATAGTTACTTGTATGATTACTAACACCATACTTACAATGTATACGATTAACACTATACACATAAAGAAACTAAAAAATCTCGTTATTTATAGAAATTGCGCAAACATTTATTTTAAATTAAATCACTTACCAACTCGTGGGCCGCTTGTACCAAAATCTTTAATCAAAACTAAGGCGTAATGCTATTTATCATATTAAACTCTAATAGAGATAGAAAGAGGCTTAAACATCATTGGCATTTAAATTTGATTTAAGAACATTAGTGCAAGTGGGTACTATTACATTGAATAAGTTTCATTATATTATACATTATAAAAAAAATAGAACTACTACCCTACTTTCTAAATTAAATTTTACATCCACCACTGAACAATGTATGGTTATACACTAATACACTATTGCATTTATTATAAGTATGTACTCACATTTACATATTCATACCTGCCCCCCTAGCATGACCACCGCGATATGACATATAGCTCGTTTTTATCACGCTCAATTGTCAAATTACTATGGAGTTTGACAGTTAGACGCAGTAAAAAACGTGATATAGGTAATGTTGAAAGCGGTGCTCATCCTACGGGGATTGCATTACATCAGCAAAAAAGTAAGGTTGGGCCAAAACGCGCACAGCCTGCAACAAAAGGCCGTTTGTGCGTAGGCGGCGCCTTCTTCCGACTGCTCGGCCGAAAAGTATACACTATGGTATTTATTATATAGGTACACTTGTTTACATATATCCATTCATACCTGCCCCCCTAGCGTGAGCACCGCGATATGACATATAGCTCGTTTTTATCACGCTCAATTTTCAAATTAGTATGGAGTTTGACGGTTAGACGCAATAAAAAACGTGATATAGGTAATGTAAATTGTGGTGCTCACCCTACGGGGAATGCATTACATCAGCAAAAAAGTAAGGTTGGGCCAAAACGCGTGTAGCCTGCAGTGATGCTTGTGAACAAAGGGCCGTTTGTGCGTAGGCGGCGCCCTCTTCCGACTGCTCGGCCGACGAGAGCGGCTCGATCACCACCAACCGAGCCAATTTCGACCACCGCGCCTCCTTTAAGTCCAACCTATCTGACACTGATGTCATGTTTCTCAATGTAAGTCCTAGTGCGTGTTATGCTAGTCTAGATACGCTCTTACACTGCAATGGTGACGGTTTTTTTTATTGTTCTCTATAACTCTTTTTAATCGATATAAATATTTTTATGTAATATGCCTAATTCGGTACTAATTTAATTTTTTTACGAGTCCATAACGCCGATTTGAAATTTCACTGGAAAGTCTTTTATTACCACGTGGATGTAATGCGGTGTACGATGTTTCTCTCTGAAAGCACAAAAATCCTGATATCGTTATTCATCAAGTGGTACGGTTTTAGCAGACAGTTACGTTACGTTAAAGACATAGCTACTCGAGGTCATATCCACGTAGCAAGAAAAAGCCTTTTCATCACTCAATATAAACTTCTAAACGGCAAAAAATCTATTTTCTATATACATTTGCGGTGTAACTGTACTCTGTCGTGGTGACTATTAGCTTGTGCGATTCGACAAATGGCTATCAAACATTGGCAAAATTTGATACTCTCAAAATTAATAATACGGGCTATTTGTCGTGAAAAGTATTTGCTGCCTTTTGTTGCATGGTATTTGCCGCCTAAAACACTGTTGTGTTGTGAGTAATTAACGTAAATATTCTAAATCCTTTTAATAAAGGATGATTATAACAGTCAATGGGCCAGTTGGGGCCATACTGGATTTTGTAAGTACTTTTACATTAATTTTAAATAAAACCTTGAAATATTAAAAGATAAAGAAATTAATTTCTACAGCTTGCGTTTTTCTTCATGAGTTAGGTTCGTGGCATGCAATATAACGGAAGCCTGTAAAGTATAAATATAACGTATAGTATCAAATAATGCTAAAATACTATTGTTTAATGATATTACGAAATCATCGTTTTTATAGATTATTAGCTTACCAAAGATAATTGTATAGGTTGCTCGCGCCTCGTGCGTCGCTGGGAAGCCACGGGCTGCTAGTGTGTTTTCTTCCAAATCGTCACTGAGCGGATACAGACCGCCTCCGGGAGTACCAACTACTTCACCACTAACATCGCCAGATACTGCCAGGACATACCTGTTTCAAGGCCTCATTGGTAATCTTTAACATCAGCATGTTTTTAAAGTCATCTGAGAAAAAGAAAGAAAATTGCAAAAAAAATATATTATCAAAAACTAAAATTAACACATTTAATTAAATATCTGCCTTCCTTAGCAGTCTATAAAGTCGATTATATTCTTTCTATTATACTTTTCAATAATTTAAAAAAATATATATGAATAATAATGCTTTATAATCCCATTTTAGGCAAAGAAAGATCGAACTTATGGGACCAAATGCAATTCTGGGAGGATGCTTTCTTAGACGCCGTGAGTCAAGAACGCGACATGATTGGCATGGACCAAGGTGCCAACGAGATGATGGAGCGATACAAGTGTCTGAGTGAGACGGAACGAAAAAGGTTGGAACACGAAGAAGACAGACTATTGTCTACGGCGCTATACAACCTCACAGCGGCTATGGTGCTGTTCGGCGTTGAAGCCGATATTGTGAGGAATAAAGTTCGGCGGTTGCTCGCTAAAAGCCATATCGGATTGGTATACAGTCAAGAAGTTAACCACTTGTTGGACGTTGTTCATACGTTGGTAAGTTAAATGCACGACTCGGTTTTGCATCATCAATAGTTAGTTCATCATCAGCCTAATTATGTCCCCGCTGCTTGGGCACAGGCCTTCCCTATGGATGGAATAGGGAGATTGGCTCATGACCCACCACGCGGACCTAGTGCTGCTGGATTGGTGGGTGCTAATGACTGCAGATGCTGCCGGGACCAATGGCTTAACGTGCCTTCCAAAGCACGGAGGTGCTCGAGACAGTTTAGTCACCCATCCAATGACCGACCACTGCGAAAGTAGCTTAACTTCAGCCAAATGCGCTAACCAGTTGCTCCATTAAGCTCCTCCCATCATCAATAGTTGTTTCTACATAATTTTGATGAAAATCCTATTAGGTAATTATTTTGACGACCTCCGTGGCCGAGTGGTTTGTACGCCGGGTTTCATGGTCGCCGACTCGAGAGGTCCCGGGTTCGAATCCCGGTGGGGGCAGATGTTTGTGTGATGAATACGAGCATTTGTACTCCAGTCATGGATATTTAATATGTATTTATATATAAATATACTTATATATGTGCAGTATATGTATTCTATCCGTTACCCTAGTATCCCATAATACAAGCCTCACAGTGCTTACTTTGGGGCTAGGCTAATTGGTGTGAGTGTTGGGAACATTTATTATTATTATTTTGGGTGATACTATAAGCGTATTTTATGGAACTTAGCACGGGAACGACATTGAGCTGAAGCCGCTAGGATCGCGCCAGTTGCGCCGCGCGTCCTTCACCGTGCACGAAGGCGACGCTAGCGGCGAGCTGCGCTTCATCGAAGTGCGAGACGATGGGCTCGTCTTGCGATCTACGCAGGGTATGTTTGTAGGATATAGATATTTACTGTACAATTAAACATAAACAATATTAGTATTGCAGCTGATTTTATAGTCATACAGAGAGCGGGAGCTGATTTGATTACAGTGGTGTATCGTACGATCCACCCCACTTAGTCGCTTATAAATACAGTTGTTGTCGTGGGGTGCCAGGCAGTCGTGTTACCGATCTTGAAGAGTCGACAAGTTGTAACTAGCTCGGAATATACAAGTGCAGTGCAAGAATAAAGTGTTAATATTAAGACGTGTTTTATTAAGAGAAAATTGTTCACTCTATCTTTAAACCTGCTATACTTTGTCTGAGAGCGCCTACGATTTTAAAACTAGATACAACATCTCGAACGAAATCGTGGCCGAAACCTGTCTAAAAAGTACGTTGAACGATCCACGGAGCTCCGTGGCATGATCGCGTAGCCAAAAACTATAAAGCATTATTTTAATATTCAAAGTAAACATTAACGCAAAGGACGTCCGGTCTTCATTTAAATGCATAACTCAAAGAGTTATGACAGTTCAAATGCAACCTCGTAAAATTTGCTTCAAATGCGTTAAATTAACAAACATTTATTAGATACTTGTCGAAAAAGCTACACTACGTAATATAAGTATATTTTTCGCATTTTTTTCATGGATATCTGCGGCATCTTGACTTTTCAACGGTCCTCTCATGACTGTAAGCCAAGAAGTGCTTGAGTTGTGTTCAAGCACTTCTTGAATGGGACACATTTTGAGAGCACGTGGTGTATCTAAGGTTTTTAACATCGTTGAGTCAATCTTTAAACTTCCTATAGTTAGTCTGAGAGCGTGCTTAGGTATGTGCGCAAAGCAAAACGGTCCTAGAGAGAGTGGCTTGCTGCCTAAGACAGAGGTCGGTCAATACTCACAGTTTAAATTTTTGTGCCTTCCCCCAGCTCTCTCACTTAAGCGTAGTACACAATACGTACACTTCGTAAAACAGAAGACACAAACATAGTTGTAAATTTAATCGCGAATAATTTAGATATTTCATTAAATTGTTGCTTTATTAGACACCTTCTGTACTTAGCACGCCGTACAATCTTTGTGATCTTGTTCAATACCTCCGAAATTTTTGTCCGTGACTTAGTTTTTCACCTCTCATATTTTGTAGGATAATAATAAAAAAAACTTGTTTTAATACAATCAAACTGTTTTAGGTACTATCGTGGAAAGGTGGTGGTACGAGCGGCTGGTAAACATGACTTACAGTCCGAAAATACGAGTTTTGTGCCTTTGGAGGAAAAACGGTGGTCAGACGCAACTCCACAAATATTACACTAAAAAGGTATTTCTATATTTTTCTGATAAAAAGCTATAATTTCAAGTTAAACTTTTTACTGTTTAAAAATCTGAGCGAGTAAAAGATGTTAACTTGCCAAAACATAAAATGGACACCATCATCAGTCTAATTGACGTCCCAGCTGTTGGGGTGCTGACCTTCCATAATGTGTGGAATCTTACGGGTCACGAGAATTTCGAAAACTGGAAGCATGGCTGTATTCAAAACTAAGGCACATTTTTGATTCCGGTTTATCAGAAGGACCAATGGCTTGACTTGTCTTTCGAAGAACGATAGAGCTTCGGATAATAATTTCTAGTCACGCAACCGAAGATCGGTCAATGCAAAATTTGCTTAACATAATAAATATCTTAGAAAAATTACACTTCCTCCGCACCATGGAATTCAGAATCGACAGAAATCAAGACCCAACCGATAATAATTTCGAACTATTATCGGTCGAAAAAAAACACTTTGTTTAACTGCATCCCCACTGAAAAGGTCTTACCAAAGGAGGACGTGTCCCCCTTCACGTTGTTCAAAAGTTATGCATCTTTATATTAATGTGTTTTAATCGTTTCATTTCAGTGCAAAGCGTTGTACTATTGCATCAAGGAGGCAATGGAGAAGAGTGGACGGCGGCAGGACGCGGCCGAACTCGGTGGAGAATTCCCCATACAGGACTGTGCTTCTGGGGAAGGGGGACTCATACAGGTATACATAATAGTAATTATTAGTTTTTAGGGTTCCGTACCTCAAAGAAAAAACGGAACCCTTATAGGATCACTTTATTGTCCGTCCGTCCATCTGTCAAGACCGTTTTTCTCAGGTACGCATGGAGGTATCAAACTGAAATTCTTATCTGATACTCATGTCTACTGTCCCTTGGAGCTGTGAAAAAGTCAAACTTCTAAGCCAAAGCAATCAAAAGATACAATCAAAAGATGCCGCAAATTTTCGAAACTCGCATGGGAATCAAAACCTACGGGGTACTTCCCGTGAGCTAAGAATCTTGAAATTTGGTTCGAAGTAACGTCTTATAGTACAGATAAAGGAAAAATTGCGAAAACCGTAAATTTTTAGGTACATCATATAATAAAAAATATTTTAAAAAATTAAAATTTACTACCTCTTTTCTCATGAACGCGTAGAGGTTTTAAATTGAGTTTGTTCGGAACCCTCGTTGCGCGAGTCCGACTCGCACTTGGCCGGTTTTTTTTATTGCCTTCATAGGCAGACAAGCGGACGGGCCACCTAATGTTAAGTGGTCACCGTAGCCCATGGACATCAGCAATGCCAGTGACACAGCCATGCCTCTGCGTTTCGTGGAACATTTTTAAGCCACTCTTGAAGCGGACCACGTTATAGTACTGAGGGAACACCGAGGAGGGGAGCTCATTCAATAATTTTACTGTCTGCTAATTAAAAGATCTCCGGAAACGAACAGCTTTTCAAGTGAAACTTTTATTACATCGCCAAATTTTTTTTCGTTCATCTTTAGCATGTCACATTACAATTTTATTGGTTATTAAAGTAATTGGACAATATCATACAAGCATCGGTGGTTCAGTGGTAGAAAGCACACCGGCCACATGGATGTCCCGGGTTCGATTCTCAGCCGAGGAAGCACTTTTTAATTTTACGTTATTATAAGCCAGGATAAAATCAAATAAGTACCTGGGTCGTCGAATAAGGCCACCTTAAGGTTTATTATACTTCTTTTGTAACAAAAAAGCTAAAACTGGTAAGTCTTATTTTTGCATTTTTTAAGGAAGAATGGCTATTTTTACAACAAAGGCAAAAAATACAAAGACATACAATGATAAAAATAGTAGTTTCAATAGTTATACAAAAAATGGCCATATTTCCGCATAGGGAGGTAAATATGCCCATGCAAGAGAACATTTATTTATAGTTTTCTTTGGTCGACGTTCATTCCCAATAAAGAGCCGAACAGTAATATTAATTTAAAGATAATAAAATCAACAATGAGATTAAACTTCATCATCTTTCCGCTTTTGACTGCAGTTAAATCTATTGTCATTGACGCTTCTGGCCAATTACCTCGAAGCCCTTTAGATTTATTGCGTACAATGGTTTAAAACTGATGTAGTTAGGTAAATTTTATAATCATATATTAAGTGTTACACGTAGCGCCATCTATCATTGTCGGGAAGAACCTCATATAATCTACCTATTTTGTGCACCTCACTTTTACTTCCGTTTCCTGAAAATCTGTTATGTCATGCGTTGTATTACCTATAAAGAATGTGTGCTGTCAAGAATAAAACCAGAGTTTAACCTAAATGTATTTATTATTTGATATACCTACCTAACCATTTCAACAAAAACAAAAAAAAAACAGTAATTTAGTAAGTTAAATCAGGCCAAACGGTGGCCATATTGACAGTCATGCAATTTTTTCTTTTGATATATACGAATTTAAAAAATACACTATTACTCTGATAATAAATAAAGGAATATAAAATTACAATCGTCACAGAATATCATAATATGAATAACGATTATTCTGTTTTGAGTAATAACAAAATACAGGACTATACTTCCTTAATGTTTTTATAACCTCAACAGCATGTTTCACTTAAATGGACGCTGGGCGACCAGCGAGCGCGCGGGAGGAGTGAGAGCAGCGTTGCCAGACGTCCCGATTTTGGCGGGACGTCCCGATTTTTTAATCAAAATTTAATGTCCCGCGCGGGACAGGCTCTATCCCGCTTTTCGGGAATAACTAGACCTTGCGTGCAGCGTACTAAGAAAACGCGGGCGGGTGGCACAGACTATTGTGGACTGGCCGCCTGCCCAGCGCTTAATGTAGATAAATATTCAATAACTTTTGATTATATAGGTTTTTTTTCTATGTCCCGCTTTCAACGAAAGAATCCCGCTTTATTCACTCAAAAAGTTCCTAAATACCGACTTGGCAAAAAAAGCTGGCAACGCTGAGTGGCAGGTACCCCCCTCGAATAGAAACGACACTAGCGACAATTTATCAGGTTATTACTTAATTTAGTTTTTTTGATAATCGCGTGTGGCCATATTCGACCCCGGTACCTTAAGTATTATTAATTTGAGGCGATATAAAACACCTGAAAAATTACATTTGCAGCGTGGTTTCATAAAACCACACCATTTTTTAAAGTTTCATAAGTAGTAAAAAATATTTTCATGAGTTATTTAATTCAATACACTTTTCTATTAAAGTTGGAAACACAATACTTTTTTAAATCTTCTATAGACTCTACCACAAGTTTGGACATTTCTTTTAGCTGTTAGCTTTTCTTTGATGTTTAGTGTACGGGTCCGTATACTTAACCACTACTGTTTTCGCTAGGAGGTGCTAAGACTTGAAGAAAAACTTAAAATAAAACAAAAATAAGAAAGAGACCGATAAGATCGTAGTTTTAAAAACGCTTTCGTGTATTTGTTAAATGAATAATGCCAATGAGGGTATTCAGGAAAAGTTATGCTACTCTGTCATGAAGTCTAAATTTAAGTAGGGACCGTTTTCACATTTTATATACATTATAGCAGTAAGAAGGGCCGGGTTCGGGAGTGTCCTCCGGTTGTACTTTTGGTATAGATTGTTTAACGGCTAGTTTCAGTCATCAACCACCAGTAAAAGTATAATCTGGTTCTGTTTCTTAAGAACGGTTGTATTATAATCTAAATATTTTTTTAAGCATTTAACTGCTAGATGTCTACCTCTAAAGAAAATTTTACTAGAAACAACTCCACGCGGACCAGGCAGCAGACGGGATTCGAACCCGCATTCTTTGCTATCTGGGGGAATGCACTCACCATTATGCTACCGCGACTCTGATGGCCGTGTTGAATTTTCTCTAGCCCTTTTTAGGCTGTATGGCAGCGCCATCTATTCGCATTTTAGGTAACCCATAATGTCAAATAAATACCTTTATAAGTATTAAACATTTGAAAGGAGAAATAGCAATTATAGTTATTTTTTTTTTAAGCATTTAGCTTTAATAGGTCTCTCCCTTTCTATTTTGATTATTGAAACTGGCCCTTAACATTCATTCTGTTTTATCCATAATCTTGAAACACAAACTTCATATCGTTCTTCTTATTTTTATTATATTATCTTTTAAAATATTTACCCGTGATTGTTTAATTCCCAAAGGTGTGCATGGAGGGCGTCGGATTACTGTTCCACCACAGCAAGGTACGTCCCAACGCATTTTACGTGATTAATTTTTTGTCAGCTTATTTACGCTATTGCTATGATATACCAAAACATATTACATTTATAGTTTTGGTATCGTCATTGAGGTTATTCAAGGTAAGGCGTCTGTCAATGTATCTGCTTAATTTGGAATAACTCTTGATACGATTGTTAAATACTTATAGATTGACGTACAAGTATTTGTATGGCAATCTATTGGTAAGGGGCCGTGTACTGTGCGGGGCAATGCTTCTGTTTCAATATTGTATCGGTGCCGTTAGCGCATTGTTAAATACTTTAAAGAAGCTTCAATATCCGACGAAGACATTGATACCTATATATAAACATTGTTATGATTTGTTCCGAATAATCAAATTAAATCATTGGCAACTCTGTTGTATCACTAAAACAGCATGAACGAAAATTATTTTCAGTCGTCCCATCAAATAAAGTACTTACTCATAACAGTTGGTCTAAAAAAACTTTAGTTTATTATACCCAGATGCAAGGACCACTCAAAGTTTCCTATTTCGTATTTTTATTGTTTACAGTTTTCTTATTGATTTAATAGCAGTTTATTATGTATTTCCTTATCGATACACATTATCAACGTTGATGAACTACATCAACAGTATCGTCTTCGAACGATTCTGCATTTTATAATTATTACTATATATATATATACCAGCTTATGTCGAATTATAATCCAGTATTTTGCCCTTCGATATCTTTCTCTATTACTAATTCGATGTAATAGCTTAGATTTTTACATTTAAGGTTAACGTTGTCCTTCAGATCTTGGTACCTGTTCGTACGGTCTGTGCATGTGCTATATCCCCGGTGCGCTGGAGTGCGCGGGCGCCGCCCGCTAGGAACTTTTGAGATGGTCCTTGGCACGCGCTCGCCCGCCCTCAACTAATCTCTTCTTTTTGTCTGTTTTTACTCTCCCCGGACACGCCGAACCCGCTGCGCTAAAGGATTTCGAGGTACACCACTAGTAATGGCGACCTTTACGACCTTTATGATCTCTGTCACGGTCACCGTGTGGCGCGCCACTGGCGATGATCGTTCGAGGTCGTAGGGCTTTACTTGTAGTTTTGAGGCTTACCGATTGTTTTAGCCGTTGTTAGCGTTGTATTAGTTCTCCCGAGTGCGGCGAGCGCCGAAGCGCGCGGTCGTGCATGCACATAGACGCCCTTTGTTATTATCTGTTTATATTATCGCACCCTACAGCTTGCATTCGTTATCGTGGATCGTCCGGCGAGCGGTCTCGATATTTCACTCTCGCACGCCGTGCCGAGATTTAGTTCGTACTTCCCCTATCACCCGGAACCCGAGCGTACGTCGCGTCAGCGCTGTAGCTAAACGGACGCGAATCACGAGGTCAGTCGTAGATCATTCGCCATCTCACAAGTTCTGGTGCGGCCCCAGGCCAGTCGCGCACGTCCTGCCGTTTCCCGCCTGTCCCCTCCCGCCCCCGAACACGCCGCCGGCCCCTTCCCCTCCCCCGCCTCGCCCGGTCCCCGCCCCGTCTCCGCCCGGGCGACTCGCGAGCGTACTGCACGCGTGGTAAAAGCCCGTCGTCGCTCGACTCGCGCCTCTAGCGCCCGCCGGCGGATTCTCCGTCGAGCCGAGCGACCGCGGCTAGTGGCTCGTGGTCCAGTTTCCGAATTATGCCGAACGCATCGCATGGACGCATGTTGCACGTAAAACTTGCTCTAATTTATTTTTGGAACTGGCTTCGTAGTGAAAGTTCCTACGCATTTATAGAGTCCAAGGCGATCGTTTAGAAATGAGAGATACTTATTAAAGATTTCGCTATCGCTAATTTTATAAACTTACCTATTGAACGGCCGTGCCACATGCATTGATTTGTGTGACTTGAGAAAATTTCTAGTCGTTTTTATTTGTTACCTTTACACGGCGTGATCAGTGATAGCGAGATTTCACTTGCCACTTGGTCGGATGTTTAAGTCAGATCCAAAAATAGTGATTGTTCCGCTTTAGTTTGTTCTGATTTAGTTTGATCCTGCATTTTCAACTTTTTCATTTAATCTGCTTATAAAAAATAAAGATTATATTAACCCCTTCATTTGTAATGTTATGTATCTAAATGCACATTATTTTAACTCTTGAAAACTAAAATAAAATCTTCCTGAATCTCAACATAGTAAACGAGTCTGTAAATAACCACTAAAGTGGTTATTTATTCAACGACTAAAAACAATCCTTCCTTGGATTATAAATTGAATGGTTTTGTTTGTTCATCTAAGAATTAGGAAGCCTGCCTTTCAATGATGGCTAAAGATTGGAAGTTTCATTCGATTTCGAACTTGGAAGTATTTGTTTTTATACTACTTTGTGATGTGGCTCCATTTTGTGATCCACTTCAATTTCCAAAGAAAAGTACCTACCTAACTTTAATCATACTTTTTGACGATTAAGTAAAAAAAACAAATTCAAGCAAGTGCCTACCTGATTGGTGATATTTCACAGTTTTGTATAATGTGATAAAAAATAAACCTCTTAACTGTCCTTAAATACTGGTTGATTCCATACAAAAGCACGGCAAGTTACCACAAAATTCCGTAATTCCGATTTTGAGCTTTGAACCCAAGTCGTTTGGAGATTTTTGCCACTGTGACGCTGGAGGAACTACTGTGTGTACCTATACCCATTATTGCTATTAGCGCCTTTTTCACTTGTGCATTCAATATTAGAAAAAATATAACGTACTCTAACCCCCTTATTAATAAACAAGGAATAAGCTTAGACTACTTACTCCGTTGGTTTTGTTTATATCACTATAAATTAGTGCTATTTGTCATTCAATGAGCAGAGACAAAACATAGAGTAACTAATCCAAGCTTAGTCTTTAGTTATTTATGAGGGGGTTATAGATTTATAATAAAAAAATATGTAGTCGACAATTTGTCCATGGTTTGAAAATATTACATCGATAAAATTTATTGTGTTTCAGTTTTTTGTGCGGCTTGATCACATTAGAAAATGCTTCACGCAGAACGGCGGTATCTTCGTTTTAGAAGAATTTAGTGAGTAAACATTATTTACCTAATAATAATAATAATATAAAGTATATTAATATAATATAAATAACTAATGATATAAAAATCTTTTTTTTTGTTTTGTTTTGCAGATCCGAAAACAAGACAAATAATCCAGAGAAAGTACAAATCTATAATGGCAAGTAGCGACTTGTGTTATGTGCGTGTATTGTATTTGGTTTGTTTTTGAGTTTCTGTTGTTCATTTACCTTCGTGTCTTATGTTGTAGGCAGAGAAAGTAGTGCTTGACCTCCACCGTTTCTTCTCCATATGGCTTTCTCGGTACTATGTCCAGACAAATGGAACAGAACTGAATTATGCACCTTACGTTTTGTAAACTATTCCGATGTATGTACACCTTTACTGTTTTTGGTTCTGCATGTTCTTCCTCTAAATATGCCTTTGCTTTATGCAAAATTTTTACATTTATTAGCACCCATGAATATTTTTTAATTAAAATAAAAGCTTCAATAATTTATGCAAATGAAAAGATTCTTTGAACCGATAAGTAATCAATTGAAACTAATTTTGGTGGCATGTTTGATGCTTTTGCCTATGATGATACTTAGAGGTTTTTAATACAAAGGTAAACTAACAATATAATACAGCCAATATTATTAAAAATCGTTATTTTATCTAATGCAGTAGTGCTGATTGCTATTTTTTAACTGATATATATATTTACTGACTAATAAGTTACTATCATTAATTAGTTGTTATTATTATTAAATTATTAAATAATGATAATTTTCTACTAATAGTAATTACGTTATTATTTATTCGAAGAAAAGAACAATTCTTTTTTTTATTTTTACACGTTAACCTAAATTACACAGCACGATTTCTATTCTTCATTTGATTCACTATTTGAAATAAATCCAAATACACAAATTACTTAATCTCTTTAATATTAATAATGACTTTTAAATTTTAATTGTTTTTTCTTACTAATACAGGTACTTATGGAAATAAGTATAATTATTTAAGGAAGTCTTATTTGGCTAAGTAACAGTTAAAATCGCTTAAAATAAGGGCTTAAAAATAATTATGTAAGTGAGTTGGTATATAAGAATATATGAATTAATATTTAATCACAGAACTAGCCAAAATATGCAGAAAAATATTGTATCAAAATAAGACTCACTTAAATAGATTTTAATATAAAGAAGCTTAATAATTGTAATCGTCACATCACACAAATATCCAGAGATACAAGCACGAATTTAACGTAACGCATCTTCAAAGTTTCTATGAAAACTAAGCAGCGCCCCTACCGGACGTAAGAACAAAGTGGTTCCTTCCATACAAAATTTGACGATGATCACTCGCTTACGGAGCTGTCAAAATTCGTGCTTGGGCCTCAGATCTTAAACTTTTGGCAGTTCAGATAAAAAAATCAAATTCTAGACACAGTGTTATAAAGTTCAAAGTTAAATAAAATTTTAACCTTTACATCACTGCCCACTACAATGTGTAATAATAATAAGACATACAACTTGCAACTTGCTTAATCAAACGCCGCGCTGCCGTCGGTATTCTTACTTTAGATACTACTGTATCTGTGAAGAGAGCTGTTTATGAGTACAAGTAGATGAAGTTAGTTGAATAATGTAAAAATTTTCTTCGCGGCATTGGTCATTTCAAGTTAACGCACAACAGCCCTCTTTTATGGAGACAACTTAGCGATCGCAGCGCCTCACTTAAGTTGTCCATATTTCTGGGACACTATTTTCTCGTTCGATCGCTGTAGAAAATAGTGTGTCTAGGTTAGAGAGAAGGAGAACTCCTCTCTAACCTCCATGCTAGGGCCTCTCTTGCTCATTAACGAAACCTTTAAAAAGCTAACCTTTTACTGGAGTATTGACTTATTGAAACTATGTATGGTGCAGGCGGACCAGATCTGCTACGCGGTGCTGTGCGTGTTCTCGTACTTCGCGGCGGGGCACGAGCAGCGGCGCGCCATCCTCGAGCAAGCGGCGCGCGTGCCCCCGCCGCCCGCTCAGCACCACCCGCCCCCGTCGCCCGCTCAACACCACGCGCCCGCCCACCATCAGGTAACCCGCTCGTCACACGCGGCGGGACAGCAGCGGCGCTCCATCTTCAAGCAACTAGCCCAGCATCACGCGTCCGCTCACCACCAGGTAACCCGCTCGACTCACGCGGCAGGGCAGCAGCGGCGCACTATCCTCGAGCAGCCAGCCTAGCACCACGTGCCCGCCCACCACCAAGCAACCCACTCGACTCACGTGGCGGGGCAGCAGCGGCGCACCATTCTTGAGCAGCCAGCCTAGCACCACGTGCCCGCCCACCATCAGATAAACAGCGCATCCCACGCGGTGGGGAAGCAACCCAGCCAACACATAAGCCAGATAGTAGCGAAAATATACCACGATAAGCAGTGTCAAGCTTTATAACTTTTGTATTACAGCTGACGTTATGGCTTTATTTTGAATAAGAGAGTTCTTAAATTAAAATAATGTTGTAAGCTTACTAAATTCTGTATAAAGTTCGCGGTATTTTTTCAAGCTGAATAGTAATCAAGAGTAGAATCTGCTAAACAAGCGATATTCAAATAAAAGTAATTGAAACATCTATTATCTGCACAGTAGCTGAAGTTTTTGCATTGTCCTGTATAACATATTTAAGCAAAGCAGTTAAACAGCAAAACGCTCAATATAAGACGAAATATTTTCTTTCAGCTGCATAGTGTACGAAATGGTACTAATTTATTCAGATGCTGAATATTTTAGATTTTTTCTTCTTTACACAGCTTACTTCTGCATAATTGAAAATAAACTCCTTGTTTTACCTTACTTATAGTGCTATAAGCGTACAATTGTCTTTATGCTCAGCTTAAAACAATATCAGTTACAAATGTGGGTATCTTAAGCAGCAAATAATTGATTAGTTGAAGATATCGTATGTTTGTATCCAGATATTTCACCATTTTGTGACAAAACTGATAATGATGCATCGTCAACAATATGCCTCCTCAGAAAAATAATAACAAAAGCGTAAATGATTCATGGAAAAAAAGAAAGAGAACGGGAGGAATAAGAAGAAAGTGTTCACGAGAGTATGTAAAGATAAAAAATGTATCTGTGCAGTAATAGAAAAGGGTTTGACAACTGATACAATTAGGCCCGGGTCAAGTGCGACCAATACAGTTGAAGAGGGTTCTGTACACAATAATTATGCATCACCATCAGGTTTAGTGATTCAAACAAATAGACCGGGTCCAACTTTAGGTGCACATAACGAGAATTATATGTGTGACAACTTTGCATCTCAATCACTGACTGTACAATTTGATAGTGATTCAAGTTCTACTGATTTGGAAGAAAACTCGGAATTTAATAAAAATTCTGATTTTCGCAATAACCTCAGAGAATGGGCAGTGGGTAAAAATATTTCTCAAGAGGCTGTAAAAGACCTACTAAACGTCATTAATCAACGATTTCCTGGAACTGTACCAGTTGATCCTAGGACTTTATTGCAAACTCCTAGAAATATTGTAATTAAAGAAATTGAAGGCGGAGAATACTGGTATAACGGCCTCACGAAACCACTTACCAATATTTTAAATGTTTGGCTGGACTTGCCAGATATGATAAACCTTAATTTCAATTTTGATGGGTTGCCAATTTTTAAAAGTTCCAAAAAAGAATTTTGGCCTATTCTTTGTAATATACATGAAAGAACTGATATACGACCACTCATTGTTGGAATTTACTATGGTTCTGGCAAACCAAAAAAACTGAATCAGTATTTAAAAGACTTTGTCTCAGAGATGAAAACGCTACTTGAAAATGGCATCCACATGGTTAAAGAAGGTGAAGAAAAGATAGTTACTGTAAAAATAAGATGCTTCATATGTGATTCACCAGCGAGGGCTTTTATAAAAGGTAATTTTTGTAAGTCTAAAATATAGATCGTTTAAACGTTACTACTAGACCATATATACAAACGCACGCTTGAACACACACACGCACTACATACTTATTAGTTCCACAAAGATGATGATTTGTTTTTTAACTAAAGGCCAATTGTGTCACGTTTTTTTAATACGTCAGTTGATAAAATTATTCGAGCATGTGTAACGTGAGCATTTATTTTCAGGTGTATGCAATTTCAACGGGAAGCATGGTTGTTTAAAATGTGTAACTGTAGGCGACTACTCTCACCAGTCTCATACAGTGATATTTCCAGACTCAAGATGTCCCAAGAGAACGGATAATGAATTTAGACAAAGAAACTATGGACAACATCACAAAACAGACACACCCCTTCTAGGATTACCTATCGATATGATTGAAGATTTCCCAATTTCTGATTCACTGCATCTTATTGATCTGGGAGTTATGAAACGTTTACTAGTGGGATGGCGCGATGGTAATTGTGAAAAGCTTTTGACCAAATGGAGGGCTTCAGATACGCAAAAAGTCACAGATTTTTTACGGGCTTGTAAACTTCCTTCTGAAATCCATAGATCCGCACGAGGGTTAGATGAGCTGCTTCATTGGAAAGCAGTGGAATTCAGATCTTTTTTTTATTACCTAAGTATCATAATTCTACCTGAAGTGATGTCAAAAGAACCCTATGAACATTTTTTATTACTTTTTTGTGCAATTACGATTTGCTCATCTCAAAATTACAGCTCACTACTAGATCTTTCTGAGCAACTATTATTACACTTTGTAGAAAACTTCAAAGCATTTTACGGTAACTACGTTACAAGTAATATTCATAATTTAGTACATGTTACTGATGAAGTCCGTAAATTTGGCCCTCTTAACACATTTAATTCGTATCCGTTTGAGAATATGCTCCACATTATAAAAAAAATGTTAAGGAAAGGGAATAAACCACTAATTCAAGTTGCAAATAGGCTGGCAGAAAGTAATAAAAATAATTGTTCAAAGAATATCGTGGTAAAAAAAACTAAAACTAATTATCCAATAATAACAAAAAGTAGACATCACAATATTGTAAACTTCGATACATTCAAAATTTCACATAAAACTCAAGATAAATATTTTATGAGTACAGAAAGGGATATTATTGAAGTGATAGAGATAAAAGAAAAAACTATAAAAGGTTACAAAATTAAATATTTGTCTGATGTTTTCCAAACTCCTATAAAATCATCTTATCTTAATATATTTAAAGCCAGTTTACCCGACTGTCACCGTACAGTTGTAAATATACATTATGAAAAAAATTGTTGCAAATTAGTGGTTAATTCATATAAAGACTATTTATATTTTATTCCTCTCTTACACACACTGAATCAATAGTTGATTCATACAAGTAATACAAACACATTTTATTGTATTATTTACTTTTTGGTCGACCATATTGTAGGTAGTTAAGTTACTTTATAAGGTTAATTGTATAAATAAAACTCCAGTTATATATGAGTTTGTTTTATTAAAATATATGAATTAAATCAATATCTCCAATCATTGCATTTGCACACTTGCATTCAACATGATCCAATCTAAGAAAAAATATTTTTATCTCTCATTTATTTGTACTTAATCAAATAAACATTAAAACGACTTAAAACTATTAGTCAAATCAATACCTAATAATTTAGTCACACCTTTAAGTAGCGTGTGGATTATTATTTAAAAACTATCAGTCAGATCAATATCTTAATTATTATAATCCAGTCACATATAGTAGTAAGTAGCTTTGACATTAGTTTTTGATCATAATATTGAATATCCCAAAGACTCTTCAACTTATCTAACTTATTCTATAATGATATCTTATACCTTATTCCGTTAACTGAACCACTTTTACCAAGGAACATGGGTGTTTATTTGGAAAGCCGTTTCACTGGGCGAGTATACTATTTTAGTTTACGGTAATCTATAATTGTCATCCTGTGTAAAAGTAGCTTTTTAATAGTTATTTTTGGGCTTTCCAACCTAACTTCGGCTCATCCACTCGACCAACTTTCCTAAAAAAACTTAAGACAAGTCATAAATGTTGGTAAAGATGTAAAACTTAAATCTCCAAAATTTCATGTATGGTTTAAGTTCGAACAGTTTAGGACTCAAATCATAGATAAAATTTAGGAGATAGTGGTCCAAAAGTAATCTTCTATTCAATATTAATCAAAACATCAATAAAAAAAATGCACAAGTGAAACAAACGGTCCTTAATTTTGTATCTCTCCTCTACACCTAATAATTAACAAAAAAAATATAGGTATCTTAAATCTTATAAAATATTGTGCATAACTAAATAAAAAAAACCCAGTCTAACAAAGTGATTCTTCGTCCTCCTCATTCTCAACATTATTCGGGTGATCCCCACAATTGTCGTGTTGAGTATTTGTTTTCAATTCGCCTACCTTTACATTGCTTGGGTTGGCGTTATTGTTATTTTGTATCTCGTCTTCGTCGGCTTCGTTATTATTACTTTTTGGCTCGACTTCCTTGATTTCGTTATCATTTTGTATCTCGTCTTCGCAAGCTTTGTTATTACTTTGTGTCTCAGTTTTGTCGGTTTCAAGATTGACATTCTTTGCTTTTATAATCTTCTTGCTTTTCTTGCTTGATTTTCTAATGTTTTTTGTTCCTTTTCTTTTTAACGCGTTTCTCAATACTGACTTCAGAAAATCTTCATTATTTTCAACTGTGTAATTAGGATCCCATGAATTAACCATCTCAAAAAAAAAATTTTTTTTTTGAGATGGTTAATGTACAAAAATGTTATCAATTGATAACATTTTTGTAGGCCTTAAATCCTATTTTAACATCAGATCCACGACTTCCTCCTGTCCATGAGCATTTACATAAAAAATCTTTTGAAAATAAAGCATCTAATAATCTGTATGCACAATTAAAACCACTCCCTTTAGAAGCGGAGCACAAAATAGAATATTTTTGTAATAAGCTTTCAAACGTGTCAAAGTTTGATAGTTGATTATTAAATTGTTCCAGTTCGTTTACATTTTTAATGGGTTCTATTATAAATTTTTCTTTTTGTGTTCCTGTAGCTTCCCCAAGTGTGGTTACAAATGTTTTCCTATTTTCCATTATTTCCTCCAATTGAACTGTAATTTCGCCAAGTTTTTTCATAATTTTATCTTGATTTTGCAAAACTACAAGAAGCAACTCATTTGATATAGTAGTTTGATCATTGACATATGATACTTGCGCCGTAGAAAGTTGTTGTGTATTTGCTGTACCCTGTGAATTTTGAATCACTGTATAAATTTCACCGTCCATACCTTGAGCTTCAATGACTACATGTTCTGCTGCTGGACTTATACTTGCTGTGGAATCAATCTGTAAAATAAATACATTAAGGTAGTAAATAATTATAGAAAGGCAAGCAAAGCAACCGGTACGCACTTAAAATGACTTGCTCCCACGGGAAAAGCGGAAACTACATATGCGGCTGGAGTGGAGCCGCGGGCGGTCGTTATTAAAATTGTACTATATAAACAGATACATTATCAATAAATATATGCTACTTACCAAATTTTTTGCCATCGAATTAAAATCTTTATTTTGTGAAATACGAGAAGATGTATTAACGCGTCGATCATGTTGTTGTTCGTAATCCGTATCATCCGTATCAGTTCTATTCAACATTTGAGATAATTCTTCCTCAGCTTCTTCAAAAGTTTTGAAATGATTGCGTTTTAATGTACAGTTGTAGGTATTCCAGTCCGGCTGTGGTAGGATTGCAGGGTTCTTGCAAAGTAGCTCGCCATTTTTTTTTGGAAAGTATAACTTTCCTTTGTTCTCCCAAGAAGCGGGCACTGTCGATAATTCAACCCGGCCTTTTTTACGAGTCGAAACGATTTTGAACATGTTTCTGAAAAAAATAAATATTTTTTCTATAACACTTCAAAAATACTACAACACTATTACAAACAACAACACTATTATAAATACTAACATTATAAAATCGTTATTTACGTTTGTACCTATCTTACTTATTGACTACACGAGCACGACAAGGAAGCTACGATAACGGGGACCTCTCTGCTTAAAGTTACATTTTGGAATGTGTAAAGCAACAGCGCAGCGAGCGTGGCCGAGCGAAAACCGATCGTAAGCCGAGTTTAGCCGAGCGCCCATTTGAAGCGTTTTTGTGATGGGAAATTAAGCGCGATAATTTGGTTGCGACTACCTACAATGTGCTGTGTGTTTATATGTACCTATATTTTAGTTGGTAATATAAACAATTGTCTAACTAAATATTACGCAATGCGTCATTCATAGTAGTACTGTAGATAACTTTAAATACCTAATAGTGGGTCCTACCTACATCAGTATAGGTCCCATCAATCTCAAATATTCATGGATTTATTTTCTATAAAAAAGAACCCTAAAAACTGAATAAGAGTATACTGCATTATGTAATTTAAGACCTTTCTCTGAGAAATGTATAATTATTGTACTTTAAACCTAATAATTTCTGGATATGTAGTCGTATGTGAACTATTATGCAGAAATAAGCAAAATAATCACTGAAATAGACACTTTTATTCAAATTGGCATTCCGCCATTATAACTAACGTTCGACATACTTTTTATAAAAATCCTCAACATAATATATCTTATGAAACACTTTGTTTAGTGAGTAGGAAACATTAGCAGTTATTCAAAATTTGATTCTCATATTTGCTGGGACTGAAGTTTGATAAAAAGTAAAGATAATTTAATTTAAATATTATTTCACATTTGTTTACCTTTTAAATTGCAGCTTTATCTGAAGGCGCTCAAAAAATGTACAATAATCATATTCATAATTCACAGTAAAGTGCCATGCGTTTATATAATTCACCTTAAACTTAATTTAAAATGTATGAAACAATTTACTTACCAAATTTTTGAAGACGTGATCAGCAGTAGCGACCATTACAATTTTTTGAACTAATAAGTAACACAAATCTCGTCACAATGAAAAATATAAATTTATACTTGTTTTACTTGCATAATTTCTTTGTAAAACTACAACTGAGATCGGAATTTTGAATATCATTTGAATATTGAACTCACAAATTAACAACTGCATAAAAGATGTATAATTTCTGGACTAAAGAAAAATCAGAATTTATGCAGAAGATATTCAGTTTGTTGTACATTTATTCAGCTGCTATGTGGCTATTAATCAAATGTTATCCAAATTGAAGCAAGATATTTTGTGCCCAAATTGCTTGAATATCATCTGTATAAGAGCTTACACAGAAGTTATACAAATACTTTATCCAGCTTAAAGTCAAAAGAATTGCTTTTACGCAAAATTTATTCAGCTGATCTGTGTTGGCTGGGAACGGCGCGCCATCCTCGAGCAGCACTAATATTCATCATCAACAGCCTATTATAGTCTGTGTATGGTGCAGGCGGACCGGATTTGCTACGCGGTGCTGTGCGTGTTCTCGTAATTTGCGGCGGGGCAGTGACGCGTCATCCTGTCTGCCCCAGCCTGTGCCCCACTGCTGGAGCACTGGCCTTTCCTATAGATTGGAGGAAGATTGGTTTATGACCCACTACGCGGGCCCAGAGCAGCTAAGTGGGTGCTAACGATGGCAGATGAGCTGGGACCAATGGTTTGCCGTGCCTTCCGAAGCACGGCGGACGGCCATTGCGAAAGTTGCTTAACTTCCACGATCGCAGATCGAATGCGCTAACCACTTGCGTCATCGAGCTTCTTATTACATATGACAACTCGGGCCAATAAAGAAACGATAGATAGGCAATGCGAAACATTCTGTCTCAGTCTCACTTATTCCTGACAGGATATGGGCAAGGGACAGAACCAAATATTTTGTACATCACTTTTTTATCGCGTCGAACTGTCAAACTCCAGAGTAATTTGACAATGGAGCGTGAAAAACGAGACATATATTATTATATATATGCTAGCGTAAGCGTGCAGGCCTCTATATCATTTCAACTACTTGTGTAACTTTTGGCTATTTATATAATCTTTTGCACTTTGGCGAATATTGTATAGGTTATTAAAAGTACTCATACTTTTCCTTGTTTCTAAACATATTACTTATGGTTTGCGGTTTTCATTTTTGTTTTCTCATGTGCATTTTACCGATAGAAACCGTTTAAAATTAAGAGTAGGTACTAAGTAGTTTATTATGTATCTTGTGTGGCTCAAAATCTTTTATTCCTCGCACAGTTTGAGCGCAAGTCACCGGTGAATCGCGCGGGAGAGGCGAGAGCGTCGTTCGCAAAGAGCGAAGCACTACCCACCACAGAATCCCGCGACCTGCCAGAACGGCAAGCGCGTCCCGTCCCAGAAAAAGTACCCAGAGATCCTGACAAACGAGAAGCACCTGATAGGAGGGATTCACTAGATAGACGGGAACTCCCTGATAGAAGACAGCCTTTAGAAAGGCGCGAAGGACCAGATAAGACGGAGGGGCTAGACCACCGAGAGACAATAGAAAGACAGCGGACGTTACCATCGCAACCGCGTGAGGTACTTTTCATATAATTCCTATGTATTCCTAATCAGAATGTAACTTATAATGACTTTCGAACTAATGTATATAAATTATAAATAATAACTTGGTATATTGACCTTCGAGTTGAGTATTAGATGCGTGATATCATATTTATCTCTTAAAAAAATTGTCAATGCCTTTAGTTCATTTTCTGATAGGGCTTAAATAACAATAGGTTATAAATAAGACTGCGTTACTGTTAGCCTTGTTGACAATAGTATTATAACAAATACCACAACGAATGGCCCTTCAGATACCCAGCTTACAGCTTTCCGCTACCGCAGGCCGCATCGCGGGTAGCCGTGTGTAAGGCGGAGACACCACACGGCGCGATTTCAAATCTCGTAGAATGTGAAAATGTAGCTAATGCAAATCTTATAACCCAATTCACGCCCGTTGTGTGTGCGAATGGTTGAAATAATTTTGCAGACACTTGTTTTGCAGCGGACGCAACCGCTGGATTCGTACGCCAAGTTGACTGGCGTGCCCTCAAGCGCGGCGGCTACGGAACCGTACAAACCTGCGGTCCCGTGAGTTTTTTTTAACAAAACAGCTTTCCCACCACCGCGGCATGTACGGGAAACAAAAATAAAAAACGAGCGAGCCTTACAGTAGTCGCGTATGATGTGTAACATTTGAAACCTCATCTTATATTAGTAAAAAAAGAAATAAAACCTACTACAAAACCAATAAATCATTTTAAGACTTTTTCGGGATCGGGAAGCGTCACTTTAGCAGGTTTGTTTTTCTTGTTAAAAATTGTGTTGTGGCGGATGTTAGTGTCTAATAATGGTGGATTATTAACCACTAAGTGATCGGGAACATGTACAAGTTGGCAAGTGAAACAAAATAGCGGAGTGTCTTTCGACGTTCCCTCAAGAAGTCCACGGGGAAGTTCCAGTAAATCCCCACACTTTTACTGAAACATCTTTCCCTATGTTTGGGGATTGACTTGACTGCCACTTACTTTGACTTGATTTATTACTTTGCCCACGAGTGCTATAGTATTTGTAAACATTTTAACACATTGACATTGGCTAAATGCACAAGCCGTGCGAAGCCATTTAGAAAAAATAAATAAATAAAGCCGTTTGAACATTAAGTTCTAAAATCAAATAGCGCGTGCTTTCGCGCCTTCCTGTTACACACTTCCGTCCTATTTCACGAAATCACTCCCACAAATTGCTGAAAGCAAGAGGAAAGATACACATCAAAAACCACTCCGTAAGTTCATGACTGACTATTAATGCCGTATAAAATTGTTGTCTGTACAGGTTGAGTCGGGCACGCGACCTATAGGCCGCACGGACAGCTTGCCACCGCGCCGGCCGCCGCCGCCTGCGCCGCCGCACCAGCGACTGGCGCGGGCTCATTCACACGCGCCCGCGACCACCGCCGCTGCCGCCGCCGCAACCGCGTCCGCAAGGCCGCTCGACCCGCCCATAGTAAGCATTATTCTTGGCTTCTACCTTTTACATTTCTACGTATCATCATCGTCATCATCATCATCATCAGCATATTAATGTCCCCACTGCTGGGGCATAGGCCTTTCCCTGTGGATGGAACAGGGAGTTTTGGGCCATCACCCACCACGCGGGTCCAGTGCAGATTGGTGAGTGCTAACGACTGCAGATGCAGCCGGGACCAACGGCTTAACGTGCCTTCCGAAGCACGGAGGAGCTCGAGATAGTAAATTTTTTTGGTCACCCATCCAATGACCGACCACTGCGAAAGTTCCTTCACTTCAACGATCGCAGCCAAACGCGCTAATCACTTGCGCCATCTACCTCCTCCACATTTCTACGTATATATATATATTGGTGTTTCTGAACGAAATTACTTTTCGGATAGTACGGCTTGTCGAAAAAGGGGTAAAAGTTTTCCATCACAACCATTGTATCGTAGCATATTGTATGTATTTATGTACTTATACTTGTGTTTGCTTCTAACTTCGCTCCAACCGAGTGTTCCACGACACTCACATTTGCTTTTTCATAACTGAGGAGCGAACAAAGCGGTATAATTACGCATCTGGTCAAACTACTCTTTTTACAATCCGGAGGTTTCGGGCCCGTTAAATTCGAATCTCACATAATTTTCAATCAAAAGTGATAAAAACAAACAAAAATTACTAAATTTATAAAATAAAAACCATGCCAAAAGCTCACTGGATATATGTCAATAAATTTTATACAGCCCCTGCAAAATTAAATTTTATGTAATTATACCGTTTTGTTCGCCAGCTCTGCAACTTTTATATTGCATTATAATACAGATTCCTCCGCGAACGGGCGCGCCCCCCCGGCCTGCCGGTCCGCCGCCCGCGCTGCCGCCGCGACAACTATCGGCGGCCGCCGATCTCTCTTCACCTAGGTTAGTAATTTAATCCTCTGTTTTTATTCAGAATTATTGAATTTTACCTACTTTAAACCTTTTTTTTCAGGGTTCCGTACTTCAAAAGGAAAAAACGGAACCCTTATAGGATCACTTTGTTGTCCGTCCGTCCGTCCGCCAAGACCGTTTTTCTCAGGAACAAACTGAAATTCATATCTAATACTCATGTCTACTGTCCTGCCTGCCTTGGAGCCGTGAAAAAAATCAAACTTCTAAAGCAAAGCAATCAAAAGATACAGCCGTTTATGCTGCAAATTTCCGCAAATTTTCGAAACTCGCACGGGAATCAAAACCCTAGGTACTTAATCAGTACCCTGTAGGTACTTCCCGTGAACTTAGAATCTTGAAATTTGGTACGAAGTAACGTCTTATAGTACAGATAAAGGAAAAATTGCGAGAACTGTAAATTTTTAGTTACATAAAAAATATTTAAAAAAAAAGTTACTGCCTCTTTTCTCATGAACGCGTAGAGGTATTAAATTGAGTTTGTGCGGAACCCTCGGTGCGCGAGTCCGACTCGCATTTGGCCGAGTTTTTTAAGTAAAGTAGGTAATAATAGTATTGGACTTGATTTTCTTAATAACTTGTTAATTAATATGTTAAAAAAAATCCTAAGATGTATTTTTGAAATAGTTTAATAAATTATAATCTAATAGTGAGTGAACTTCATTGTCTCGACGCTGAATGTATTATACAGCCTACTAAGTCAAAGAGTTTTGTCGTTTCTGCTTTCACAAATCCGGCGTCTAGCATTAATTTAGTCAACAAAACCAATAAACGGAAAGTTTATTGGTTTAGAAACGGACGAAAGAAACCACAGTAACACGACAATGACGTTTAGTTGTTTACAAATTTGTTGACGTCACAATCATGGTGGACACTGTTTTTAGTGTTTAAAAAGCGTAGACTAAAAAACTACTTTTCAAATCAAATTACTACAGCTTCTAATTGTATAAAGTGAAATTGATGTATTTCGGTTCCTCATACCAAAAATTATAAGAAATAAACATTTGTATAGTGCAATTTCACATGAGTCAACTAGCCTATTGATGTTAGTATATATATATGTGTATATATATATATATATATAAATATATATATATAAATCATGTTTTAAGCAAATAAAGATATTATTACTATGAGTGCGGGCGCAAGTGTATTAACAATGTACGGCAGTAGGTCGGCAGCGATGGCGGCGCGGGCGACGACGCGGCAGGCGTCGGTGAGCGCCCCCTTCGCGCCCTCCAACCCGTTCTCTCCGCCGCGCCACACAGAGTTCGTCATACCGCAGCGGAATAACGCGCGCCGACCCTCCACCACAGACAAAAACTAACCGTATTCTTTATCCTTAGATCATAATAAAAAGGGAAGATACAGTACGCACGCTCATACTAGCATCAAATAAAATATGATCCGACTCAACTACACACGCACACGTCTGTAAATAATATTCAATCGAGCGAGTGAGACAGAACTGTACGCTTCAACGCAGAGCGAGCGAAACAGCGAATCAGCTTCAGAGTGCTAACGGATGAGCTGTATTATTGTCCTTTTCTTTATAACAAAATGGCGATTAAGTAAATAACATTCACGACAAACCGTGATTTTTGAGAAAAAATGATGACGTGCACCACAATTTAAGCGGATCACTTTTGAGCCGCGAGTGCCGTATCTTCCCTTTTGGTTTAATCTTAGTCTGTATCTCATATAATCGCACACCTAAGCCTTGTGATATTATCTGCAGGCCTATTCGCTAATTGCTTTTGACAGATGGAAGTGATAAGCACCGAGCTAATTACTGATCCACTACTGCTTTATTATAACGCCACTAAGATACTTGTCTTGAAAAGCATCGACGGATATGCAATTTTCTCTTTAGTTACGCACTGTAAATATCAAAAAAGTTAGCGCATATGCTATCTGATTTTGACAGATGGAAGTGATAATCAGCGAGCTATTTAGTGATTTACTACTGCTTTATTATAACGCATAAGATACTTGATCTGAAAAGCACCAATGGATATGCAATTTTCTCTTTAGTTACACACTGTGAATGTCAAAAATGTTAGCGAATAGGCCGGTTGATCAAGAAAACACAGATTAAGTTTACAATGTAATTGTATGTTTTTTATAGTTATAAGCGGGATTGCTGTACCCTGTACCTGTATAAAAAAAAGGCACATGGTACTGTATCAAAAATTCCGCTGATAGCTATAATGCTAGTGACCATGAAAGTTTAAAACAAATTTGTGATTTTAATTTTTAAGTACCCATAATGTATTTTATTATGTCGAACATACGTAGACCTCTACTTTGATACGTTTTTTGTAATAAACTGAAGTGTTTTGTTCAAATTATGTTTATTAAAATTTATAAGTTATTAAAGATAACCATTATTATATTAATTGTATGCTATAACAATTGTAACGTGGTGTGGTGTGGAAGAGACTAACTATGATACAGATCAAAGAGGAATATCCATATTTTATGTCTCGAATTTTATTCGACATGAGCTTTAAATATTATCGGCGCTTGGAATATTCGAAGCTAGACGCATGAAAATAAATTTAGACTAATAAATGTTAGAGACCTGCCAGTGTTCCTCATTTAAAAGGTAAATTACGACATTTTCCGTCACTTTTAAATGTTATGTCTGTTATGGAATCCTAATATATACAAAGGTAATTTATTAAAATGGGCTGAACTATGTTATAATTAAAATAACATGAATTACAAAAGGACGGAAAAATAACTTCATGTAGATTGTTATTTTGAAATAAAAGCTTTTTATACCCAAACCACTTAGGTATTGAATATAGGAGTTAAATATATCATATTTGATTAAATAATACCTAAAGAAATATAATAACATAAAACAATAAAATTGTTATAACTGTTTGAAATTTTATTAACTGTTTGATTTAAATATCTACTGTGTTTTCAGTACAAAACTATATGAATTCGACAAAGCATCAATTTGAATAATAGTACAGTCAATCTGTAGGTTGAGTGGTGAAAAAAAAACCTAAAGGGTAAGTTTTGTTTTTTCTGTTGCCAAATGACGTCAGTAAGCTACCTTGGCGATGGGGATGTTCAACTCGTAGGCGTTTTTTGAAAAACTCAAAAAAACCGTCAAAAAATTTTTAAAACTCATTTTTCTTGTTTTGTATGCATTTTAGAGACTTTTTTTCGAACATAATTGTAGAGGGCGTTGAGTACTACAATTTATGTCATTGTTGCAATCTCGTACAACAAAAAATGCGCATTGTAGGTGGCGCTAAAGTTTCAAAAAAGTGTTTTTTCACTTTTTCACCCTGAAAATATCATTTTAATGGAAAACTTTAATTGGCAAAGTTGTTTCGTACATAATTACCAACAACTTTTGTATAAACATTTTTTTTGTATTACTTACCGTTTTCAAGTTATAAATTGCGCAGGTATGAAAAATCCAATAGAGCGGTTTTGGGCAGTTCAAATACACATTTGCAGTGCACATTTCAATGTACGTTTTTACTATGTTTTTTTTTTTAATCATGAAATTTTTTTTTTTACAAAAAACTATTTTTTTTTATTTTTTTTTCATTTTTTTTTTGTTTTTCAATCATGAAAAAAAATAAAAAATAGTAAAACGTACATTGAAATGTGCACTGCAAATGTGTACTTGAACTGCCCAAAACCGCTCTATTAGATTTTTCATACCTGCGCAATTTATAACTTGAAAACGGTAAGTAATACAAAAAAATTGTTTATACAAAAGTTGTTGGTAATTATGTACGAAACAACTTTGCCATTTAAAGTTTTCCATTAAAATGATATTTTCAGGGTGAAAAAGTGAAAAAACACTTTTTTGAGACTTTAGCGCCACCTACAATGCGCATTTTTTGTTGTACGAGATTGCAACAATGACATAAATTGTAGTACTCAACGCCCTCTACAATTATGTTCGAAAAAAAAGTCTCTAAAATGCATATAAAACAAGAAAAATGCGATTCAAAAAATTTTTGACGGTTTTTTTGAGTTTTTCAAAATACGCCTACGAGTTGAACATGCCCATCGCCAAGGTGGCTTACTGACGTCATTTGGCAACAAAAAAAACAAGACTTACCCTTTAGGTTTTTTTTTCACTGAAACGATATTTTTTTCGACAGATTGACTGTACTATAACGGTTTGACACTTTCGTTTTAATTAGTCTTCATGCCAAATTAATATTCTAAAAATAATTAAGGTATTGCCACATGTTTATAAAATTAGGAAAATCAACAGCTACTACTTAAATTATTAATTTAAGCTGGGATAAGTACTTATGTTACCAACAAAAAATGTTTTATTTAGTCAAAACAAGTTATGCAATAGGTAATGGAATTATTTCCAATACTTATAACTTGGTTTTGCTATTGTTTGAGAAAAGGACATGGCTAAGAAACTGCCCTTAACGTGTATAAATATTTCGCACTAGCCAGTAACTTTACATTTTTTTTTATTAATTATTACGTGTTTATTATTCTCATACAACTTTCGTGAAATAATGAAATATTTAAAAGTATAAAAATTGACTTCATGTTCCGTTTTACAAAATAAATGAACAATAAATGTACACAAAAAATATTTATATAATAATATCAAAATAAACAATATTATTTCTAAACCCCTTCAAACTTTGACATATTTGGCCCTAATTTTTATTAGAAATAGAGAGATAGAAACAAATCACTGAAGGCCTAAAATAATAGATTTTATTATTCTGATCAGGCTTGAGACAAGGCTGTATGATAATTAATCCTTTAATTTTTGCAAATGGACAAAATAAAGCTTCACTCACAGATTTCCTGTCTGGCAGACGATAACAAATTATTTGTATTTATTTTAGCTTTAAAAAACTTTTTGTGAAGAGTTAATCAGAGAAATGGGATTGATGACTGCAAAAAATTGGCAACATCTTTGATCAATTTTCAAGATTGTGACTTTATCAAAAGTTCCTGAGCCTTTTTTCATATAAATTATAAATATTCAGCCATTTACCATTAAATACAGTACAGTACGTAAGTACAGTATTTATACATTGCCAGGGCAGTCGCTCATACAAAACTTTACCATGTCCTTTGGCATTGCAGATTCCCTGATGTGCTATTGATATTGAATCAAGACAGCTCAAGTGTATAATGTTTATTTTATTTTGTAACATTGTCTATAATAAGAAGATTCTAACATTATTTTTACGAAATGTGGCAGTGCTCCGACAGATAAAATCACATAATATTGGAAGTTTGGAAAAAGAAAATCAGTTTTTTTTTAATTTGAAATGAAGTCTTTATAAATCCCCAAAATAAAGAATTGATGTATAGCTAAAATATGTTGTTTTTTTCAATAATTAGAAATCTGAAATCCTTTCCTAAGGACATTGCTCGTTCCCCATACATTGAATGCCCTAGAACGCCCAGCAATGAGAAAATGCTAGTTGTGTTCGGAATCATTTATAAACTCTAATTAGGCATTTGTTGAGATACGGACAACTTGAGGAACCGTGGCCTACTACAGAATGTATTAGATTTTGAGGTTATAATTATTATACTTAATCGTAAAAGATGTACATTTTATATATTCTGAATAGTTTTAGTGTTTACCTCTATGTAAGCACTTAAATAATATGCATTAAATGAACATAAATGCAATTAATAATAAAACTAATACATGCTTTTATTCATATTGATTTATGAGCGTTGTCAGTTGGCACCTATGATACCTATACATAGGTACCTGTAGTAATAATAGATTTATTTTCAAATGAAATGTTCAAAGTCTTTCCATTTACCTGTTTCTATATTTTACTATTGGTAATTAGGTATGTACCTGGTTATCATTATGATTTTTATAAAAATAAACATATATTACATGGGATGGGAGTTGGGAGTATAAACTATCTTTACATAATTTCAGAAATAATCTTTTTATAAATATAATATTAATACTAGTAATAAGTATTGTTAACTAAGGTACCTAGTTCTATTTTTATGTTGATAAATACCTATGGTCGCCTGTAAACAATTTTGGCACAACTTTTTAACAAAATCACCCATTTAATAATAAAATATTAACGAAGCCAATAAACTATTAAAATAAAATGTTATTATAGACTGAAACCTATTGAATCCAGTTATCAGTTGATTTTTAATGCTGTATTTTCAATAAATAGGAGTGCCAAGTTGGATGAACAGACTGTAGTATCTAGTAACAGAACTTTTATTTTTTATTTTTTTAAACACTTTGTCCGTTTACTATGATTAATTGCTAATAAGTTAAAAAAATAATAGTGAAGGACATTCTTTTGGGAATGCTAGGGCCGATTTCGTCGATGTCCTTTATAAAAATACTAGCGGACCCGACAGACGTTGTCCTGTCTACACGTCTTTGTGAATCTAAACCATTCTCAGATCCCCTTGAACACACACAAAAAATTTCATCAAAATCGGTCCAGTCGTTTAAGAGAAGTTCAGTGACATACACACTCACAGAAGAATTATATATATAAAGATGTAATAACCATAGATAAATTATTGGTCTCGCTACGTGGAGCGTGGAGACCAATCATTTATCTACGGAAATGACTAATTATGTAAGTAAGTACATATACCTACTTACTTGTTCACAAAAGTACATTATCTTGTTGCTTTTCAAACTCGTCGCCGCACATCGCGAGAAAATTTGAACTCCATTTAATGTGTTAGTATACTTTAGATCATGACTGCCATGAAGGTATAGGATTTTTTCAGTCTATTCAAGATTTTAAAATATTCTCCACTCGAATCATCGAATTCTTGGTTGGGTAATAAAGATCAAAATCGCTATGTAGATGACGTTAGAGGTAACCTGTACCCCTAGCACGTTAGCTAGCTCCTAACAGGGAGTTATATTTATGAATACACTTGTCACTATAATATAGCTCTTAGTCCACTGTAAGAAATTGGTGAGTTCCTACTTGTACCGGCCACAAAGGTGTACGTCAGCCCAATATTTCTGACAGCTCCTTCAATTTCATCACGTAAAGGTGAAGGGCCCGTGATCTCACCGGTTTGTCTTACTGGTACGACCATATAGACACTGTATCGTAGGTACCAAATACATTTAGACCATGCTTCCCTTGAAAATAGTTTCCCTATTAATGCCCTTATGCTGTAAAAGAAATTATGAAGGAATTCATGTGGACTCTACAAAGTAAGTATATATATTTTCAACGATATTAAATACCCTAGATACAACATCATCATTTGTTTAACAAAATGAGCACAGGAGATTGGTTGGTGAA